CTCAAATTAGCATCTGTTGCAAACATCATGAGCCGACTGTTATTCTTCACTCTAATTAAATATTACAGGTGTTCTGATTGAATGTACATTCTAAGATGTACTTCCACTGGAATAAATGAGTTAACATAGTCAACAAATCTTGTTAGGCAGAAAATATCTATCAGGATTTTCAACCACTCACCAAAAGTAATAACAGCAATGAAAATCCTATTTTAATTCTATAATAAGGGACTCCACCATAACCCTTGCCACAATTTGAACACTGCCAGCTGTTGTTTGGCGTGTAAGGACATTTGCTCTGTTCTCTCCCTGCCATGTGAGACATACCACCTGCAGCCCCTGGAAAATTCCCTAAACTAAAGGTGATGCGGTCAGGGTTTGCCTACTATAAACAGATTACTACCTAAATACCAGTCCATCATCCCTACACTCTACTCTCACCTTTTCATTCCCCACTCTCTCCATTTCAGCTCCTCTTTTTCAGCCACTGCCTTTTGCTTTCAACCTCTATTAAATGTTCATCAACCTCTTCACTCACCTTCTTTTTACTGTCACAAAATTAGTTAATTATAAGATTTAATTTATTAACAACAGTTAATTCATTAAGTATCAACAATTAACAATAGGCTACTTGTATACCATTTATTCATGAAAAAGACACACAAATTAAAAAATGTATAGCTTTAGAGCATGCTGCTAATGGCAAGGCATTTTGAATGAACTATCAAAGTGTAAGTTTATAATTAACATTAATGTGAACATGATAACAGTAGGGTATATTTATACATTACAATTAACAAAGATTAATGCTTTAAATATTGCCTAATAGGGACATGCTAGCTGTCCTTGAATTGTTACAATGAATACAATGCATTCTGTGAGTTGTTCTGTAAAAGAATATGTAGGTTCGTCACTTCTCAGATATTTTTTCTTTATTAAAAACACTTTTGAAAATTACAAATCCTGTCCATGTCCATGTCCTCAGCCAGATTGGAGCTACAGCTTTCATAGTTTTGTTATGCTAAAAACTGTTATTTAGGAAAAAATACTCCATCAATAACAAGTTTAAGCTGTTATAACTTATCATCAATTGATCAAAAACATGAAATTATATATAAATTCTACAAATAAATACTATTTTACAACTGTCCTCATGTTTTCGTTCAGTCCTGTCACGTTTATAAAACCAGTAGGCCTATAGAACCGATTCCTAATGCACTGACTGTTATGTTGTGATAGCTAACCATCAAATCTTTAGCCTGTTTCTGTGACACCCAAATGATGTCCTTTGAGGGAAGGTTAGTGGTTCAATATAAATTGGATTAATTTATGAAAGAAACTCCATATATTTGGCATGCAGTGCATATAGCAGCACATTATAACCTCATTATGTAAGCCACAGATATGCACAGATTTCTAAATACAGTAATAACACTTGCGCTGCGACAGTTGGTGTGTAGGTGGAAGTTTGAAGGGAAAGCCCTCAGAGGTTGATCTCTCTCTCTCTCTCTCTCTCTCTCTCTCTCTCTCTCTCTCTCTCTCTCTCTCTCTCTCTCTCTCTCTCTCTCTCTCTCTCTCTCTCTCTCTCTCTCTCTCTCTCTCTCTCACACACACACACACACACTTCACAGTAGGCTATATTCGCGCATTTGTCATTATAGCCTATGCAAGCCTGCAGTGCAACTTTGATTCTACTGACTCAGCTGGTGAAAGGACCGTGTGTGTTTTCATATGCTGTGTGACGACCTGCAATGTTCGAGCAGTCTTAAATGTTTCGTTTCAGGGCTCAAAACAGTGTCAGCTGTTGCGATACATAGGATGCCACGAGTAGACCTGTACTGAGAGCAACACCCATAAACACACAATGCTAGCGTTTAGCGACCTTTACTTTAGTAGCCTATACGTTATAGTCCGTGGACGGGCTCTGCCTACTCATTAACCAAGCTCAGTTAGCTTTAGTTCTGCGTTTCCCTGTTGTTTTCACCTGAGGCTTTCCTGCTACCCACACTTCATCTTCGCCCTCATTCCCTCTTCTCATTCATTCTTCTCACGGGCATCGATCACCTCAATTAGGCTACACGGCGTATAGACCAGACTAATATTTCATATGCTGTGCACTTGTTTGACATATCCGTCGAAATATTCGCGCGAACCCGGAGTAGCCCAGATAATGACTTTTTTTAGTTGGAGTCTGACAGCCCCGTTTACATGGAGCGTGCGGACGCGACAAAACGCGCTAGGCGTCGTAGACACTATGTATGGACGCTTGATGTGGACGTGACAGCTGTCAGTGTGCGTTATTAAGCTCAGGTTATAGATACTCCACGTGCTCTTTTTAATAAAGTGTGAAATATAAATAAATTTCACAACCGCAGCTGGTGGCATTTTACTCATAACCCATAAAAATGCTCTCAGACAGAATCAGCAGACTTTCCAGTGAAGTGAGGGGAAAATGAATAATTAATTCACACTAATGTTCTCTCTTTTACTGCAATCTCGTCCAGGGGTTTGATCCTTCTCAAACCTGTCACCTGTGAACTACACGAAACAGGGAAAGGTCGCCATCCAGCGGTTGTTTAAAAGGTACACGGTTGTGACAAGTTTGAATTCCACTTTCAATGTCACATTTACGCTATATTTATGCTAGCTGTTGGGTAAACAAACGTCACTGGCATACATTCAGGCAAGAATCAACTAAGATGAAACTGTGTTAGGACAAAGTTTTTGATATTTATTTGCTTTTATTAAATTGTTAGGCCAAGGCTGTCATCTTTTTAATGTCATTTCATACAATGTATTAATTAACGTTACAAAATTGCTTGATATTTTGAATTAACTTAGATGAAATGCTTAATTGTCTACTCAATTCCACAGAGGCATACAAGGAAAATAAACACCCTAAATACTTATTTCTAATTAAATGTATATATATTGGCCTATAAGATATGAGGATACTCTGGCCAAGAGAAACCCATCATTCCAAAAAAAGAAGAAGATTTTCCTCACAAAGTTAAGTACTCTGAAACTGCTAGAACAGGAACAATATATTTTTTGTTTCATTGCAATCTTGAGAGATGGATGTCTGATTTGCAGTCCAATAAAAAAATATTTTTATACACGGTTCTGTTATTTCCCCACCCATCAATGTAACCATTTGTTTTGCTAGTTTTTCTAATATATTGTTTTTTCCCCACAACATTTCATTATTCACAATATTAAACATTATGAATGTCTAAAAAATGTGAAGAATGTGCAGGAAAATAAGAAATAGTAGAGCACCTAATTAATGATTGTTGTGTATATATATATATATATAAAATCATACTATTATTACCATAAATTAGTTATTTAATAAATGTAAATCATTCACATATTCCCCACCTGTCAGCTCACTCCTAACAAGTTGTCATGGAGCACTTTTTCCCCCTACTAATTTTTCTGACCTAGTTTTCAAGATTCTTCTTAGTTTAGTAGATCGCAGAATATTTATATTTTATACTGAAATATAATTATTTAATAATATTTCAGGGTATATATATACACACACTGAAATATAATTAGGCATATTAGTTTTAGCCATTTACTCCTTGATTAGAGGTAAAGTAAATAGCAGCACTCTGACCTTAATATCCCCTTCCACCTCTCCCGAGGATAAACATACCATCACAATTGTACTATAAACAGAGCGCGTTAACCATTTGCTGTGAAATGCAAAAACCACGAGACATTAATCTGCAGCTCATGGAAAGAAAATGCTATTTTACTTTTTTTAATAGAACAGAACTTATCTTAAAATAATTTGAGTAGGCTTCAATGGTTTGATGACAAATGTTTGAGGCATACAGATTCACATTTGCTGGAAGAAGGAAACAATGTTAATATTGCTTTAGTCTCGAAGCAGTGCATCAATTAACAGTGTCTGAACACATGAAACAAGCAGTGCAGACTTGAGCTTACAATATAAAGGGTAAAATAATATTCCAAGAAATAGTTCAGATCCACAAAGGTACACACACACACAAACAAATGTGCCGTTCACCCATAGCTTTCACCACTCAAAATGTAGACTGTTTGGCTGCATGCATTATCTACCACAACAAGCCCCCCACCCCCCCTGTATAACAATGCACATCAACGATAGTCAAAACAGAACATACACATCTCATAAAAAATTACATCCAAATAATTAAAAGATAGAAAATAAATTGGATTTCAAAGTTACGAATCATTACAAAATATATACATACAATATATACACATACATAAACACACACGCATATGTATAAACTCGTTCAACAGACCTTATATATACATCTGTGTGCATATGTATCTGTATGTACATTATGTATATATTTCAAGCAGTCTAGTCAAGTGTTGTTATGTGGAACTTCACATAGTGCAACAAAAATAAAATTAAAGTAAATACAGAAGCAGTTTATTCCGTTTATTCAGATTTAAAGCAAACTGAGCATTTAAATGGATAAAAAAGTGGGTAAATGACAAATTGGTACATGATGAGCAACTTAAAAGTGATAGTTCACCCAAAAATGAAAATTCAGCCATCATTTACCCTTCATGTCATTCCAATCCAAACCTATATACATTTCTTCTTTTTTTTTGAAAAACACAACACATCTCTTTTATGATATCTTTCACAGAAGAAAAAAAAAAGTCATACAGGTTTGGAACAACACTGAGGGCAAGTAAATGAGAATTTTAATTTTTGAGTGAACTAACACTTCAAAACTCACAAATGACCAGTATATGAATGTCAGTAAATATATCCCTGACTAGCAAAAAAAAATCTGTTATGAAAAATCTCTCTTGAATGAGAAAGACCTAAATGTAGAATTCGAATCAAAAATACTACGAGAGAGAGTGAGAAACAGAATTATCCCTCAGCTATGTGGCCACACAGTATTGAGATGGTCGCAAATGGGAAGAAAAAAGAAACCCGCTAAAACAAATGCAACCCTCTAGTTGAAACTTTCAAAAAAAAGAAGAGAGAAAAAAAAAAGGGCCGAGATTCTACTTCATGTCTCATCAAGTCCAATTTTCCTTGGGTTTATGGCTCTGTTGCCATGGTAGCATCCGTTACTGCTTTGTCATGATGGTTAAAGTTCAAATCCAAAGCCACAGGCTTACCCTGTTCCTCCCTCTCTGTACCTCCTCAATTCTCTCTTGCTGCCAGGCACTCTTCCACTCCATCCATCCCTTAATTTGTTCTCTCTTCATCTTTCTCTATCCCCTAAAAGCCCTGTGCTGCAGACTGTAAATTGTTGTTTGAGCTCAAGCAGCTATTGGGGTCAACTACGCAACCCGGAGCCCGCATGTCCCCGGTTCCTCCCCTTAGCTCTGAGCCTCTGGCTTCTCCCTCGAAACTTTTTTCTTCCAAGGGCTTCCCGATCCAGGAGCCATATCCATGTTGGTTCAGCGCCAGGAAGAACAGCCTCTTGGCGTCCTGGAATGAAGTGGCAGCCATCTTAGCGTGGGCGTATGACGGCAGTGCCAGCAGATCGGCTCGGCCTGCACGCTGACACAAAGCTTGGAAGAGACGGAACAGATTGGACTTGGAAACCCGTGATACCTCCATCTTGGTACTGGCATAAAGAGAGAAAGATAGATCATGAACGCAAGCAGGTGTCTAGGTCTCGAAGTGCTTCGGATAAATATTCAATTAGCTAGATAAGCTGGAGTTCCTTTTTACAATGGTGATGTATGACGGATGGGTCCGTCTCTCACCTGTCCACTTTGCCCTTGGTGCCATCCAGTACCTCAACGCTGACCTGGTCCGGGTGACTCCAGTTAACGCTGGACTCTTTGGTCTTGTTTGTGTGGCGTGCCGAGTCATACACACTCACCCTGCCCACCTGCAGAGAGCAATACAGAAAAAAAAAAGAGCATGAAATCGAAGTAAAAACAAAAGTTTCATAGTACTAAATGCATTGTGTTGTGCGTGTACCTCAGGGTGGTTGAGAGTAAAGTTTGCTGGTAAACTCTTTTTGAACGCATCACCGTCTCTAGCCATTCGGCAACATACAGCTCGAGTCAGGTGACCATGGCTGTAGAGATAACCTGAACAAAAGCATATAAAAAAGAAAATAGTCAAAAAGCTCTAACTTTGACGCATTATAATACAATTTATAATAAATTATAATTTTAATATAAATTTTTTTAAACCATTTGAATGGTAACACAAAATTGTGAATTTTAATATATAAGCAATATAATTTACTATTACTACTATTAATGATAAAAAAAAAAATTACAATTTTTTTTTACAAAACAGTATTTTTACATACATTTTTATAATGAATTGTCAAAAAATATATAATTTAATTATTACTATTATTAGATTTAATTTATAACTTAATATATAAATAATTTTTAAATAATTGTATACTTCTTTTTAATAATTATTCAATAATAATAATAATAATAATGCATTTTATAATTAATCTTAAATGTTTAAAAAACATATTTTAATTATTATTAATATTAAATTTTAATTATTATTAATAGTATTATTAATTTTTCAATCAGTTTCAATTAAATACCTTCATTGTAAATGTAATTTAAAAAAAACACAAACAGATGCTTGAAAAAATTGGATATCATTACTCAAAGCATGGCAGCAGTGTTTACCAAGAGTGACTGAGCGCAAATAAACGGGGTGGATGAAGTGGCTAAGGAGCGCCCCCTGTAGGCCGAGCACATTCCAGCGCAGGATCTTGTCGCTGCAGCTCATGGTCCTCAGGCGCTCACCATGCTGAATGCCATCCCAGGTGGGCACAATGTCACTGGACTCCACTGGGATGGTGCCTTCACCTGAGAAAAGGTAAGGTTTAATGAGAACAGAAACAGGAAAAGGTGAGAAATCTTGGTTTATTCAATAATATGCAAGAATGTATGACGTGACGCATGTAAATGGAATGTACAGTTGAGGACCAAATGAGAAGACTGTAGCATTGTCTACGGTAGCTCTAGAAAACTAGCTAACTAAACAAATAGCATTATCTGTAAGCATAATCTGGCTTATATCAGGACTGTCAGAAAAATGTCTGTCACAATACATCATGAGGCTGTTTTGTTTTACTTCCACGTCAACAGTCAGGGTCAGCACAACAGCTAACCAAGCACAACTGCCAACATCATGTGCAGACTTGTCAAGTTGAATTCAAAGAAATACATCCGCTTACCTGCCAACCGCTTTTGCCACGTAATTGCTTTTCTACTATCCCACTAGACAATGGCTGTTTTGCCTGGCAAAAGGCCACGTTCACGTGGCTATAGAGAACCTCTTTGGCAAGATAACTGCAACCAGATGGTACGACAAACACTGCTGAGTGCGTCTTATTTAATCCGACAGTTAGCGGACTAGAGTTGTGTACCTGAGGTCCTGGAATTACGCCACAGCATGTGCATACAGTAGTTGGCCACTTAGAGTCACCATGAAATCAAAATGGACAATACTTGTTTTTTTTAATGGAATATTGTATTATTTATTATAAATAATTTATCCGTGAATATTCTAATTTTAATTCATGTGCCCTCATAATCTTTAATCAAAATAACTTTCCCTCCTGGTTTTTTTATTTTTTATTTCTTACATTAATCGATTCTCATTTTGAAGAACCAATAACGATTCTTAAATCCCAAGAATCAATCTTTCAGTCTATGCGTTTTTTTAGTTGAACTAAATGTACGAACTAAAAGCACGACTCCCATCCAATAAATCTCAATAAGCTTTGCTACTTCTGATATGAAGCTTTCAAATTCTTTCAATTTTATTATGAAATTCAAACACTAAATGCTGTTTTGGCGCTCTCTAATGTGGCATGACAGATAGCTGTAGCGCTTCAGTTCAAGCAAAGCAGCAGCGCCGGGCGCACATGAACTGTTCATCTCTTCTGCTTTATTTCTAGTTACAGCACGAAATAAACATGAATGAACATCAGAAGGCATGTTAAACAATACAGTACACCTTTCTGAAATCCGTATCATGTCACATGCAATCGTTCAATCCGCATTTCAACCGCAGAAAGAGGTAGAAAAAAAACAGCTTATAAACAATATCACGTAATGTTACTTTTACCTCACTCACTGTCACCTACAAGAATTTACTTGAAGAGGAGCATTTTGTTAAATATATGCACTATATTGGATATTCATTGTATTTTTTACTTGCCTGTTCTTCAATATTTAATGTGTTTGAACAAAATTCATCATGTTTTTATGACAGCCACCATTTAAGCGTAAAAATAATTTTCATTAAAAATGTATTATAACGTTACTATTATAAAAACTTCCTTGTGTAATTTAAATATAAGTAACATTTTATTAAATTTTAACATTTAATATTATTATGAAGTTCAAAATCAAGTCACGCCAACATTTATTCTTGTTCGAGATGCTGTTTCACTCAGATGTGTATTGCAATATGGAAGAAAAGACTATCGCAACTTCTGTTTGATGCTGACTTTAAGATCGGGAAATTCAAACAGAAACTATGACAGCATGAGACAGTTGACACTGATAGAAATGTTGTTTCAGGGGTTTCAGCATTAAGACAGATTAAAAGATTGATCTTTGAATTTTTAAGTATAGGTATCAAATCATTCAGGAGATCTTTATTTTTTATTTTATTTTTACCCCATTTATGCAGTTATTTACAGTTCTTTTTTTACCCCATTTATGCAGTTATTTACCGTTCTTTTTTTTACCCCATTTATGCAGTTATTTACAGTTCTTTTTTTACCCCATTTATGCAGTTATTTACAGTTCTTTTTCGGTCGCTTACCGTTCTCCACCTTGGTTCTGAGCTTGCCCTGTTTTAAGTTCTCAAAGAGAGGCATGTGTCCAGAGAGATTTTCTTCAGCAGCCTCGCTACACGACTTATCGAACAGAGCGCCATCGCCACATGGAGCAGTGCTTTGAGACAAAGAAAAAGGCATGCGTTATGTTTGCAGATGAATCTCTGTTCTAAAACCAGCTCGGATGAGAGGAAATGCAGGTCTCACCTAATATAGAGATGAAAGGTGATGTCAGATTTGATCTTCAGCTTGCCATCATCTGCCACCTCAAAAATACTCCCATCACCAGGGCTTTCCCAATGTTTCATCAGCTCACCGTACAAAAACCTGAGCCATACAGATTTGACAAATAAGTGTTTTGTTAATATATTGCTTTTTATTATTGCACTAATAGGGCTGATCAAAATCTAATTTGTGTAACAGTTACAAGTTGGTTCTTTTTGTGCATTTGTCAACCCCTTTTTTAAATTCTAGATTAAACTGTTAACTGTGTAAAAAAAGTTACATAAAGTTTATTACTGAAATATTAAGAAAATAAATAAAATGATATATATATATAATTATATTTAAAGTACATTATTAACTGTATTGTTACTGTTATTTTTTATTGTTAAATTTTGATCCAGGTTTTAACATTTTCAGAACACTGAATATATAGTCAATATAATTTATGAGCTGCTGTGAAATAAGACTCCTTTATCTTGAAGAATGAGAAGGAAAAAGCTGTAGAATGAGAGGAAAAATTAATTATGGGATTGAGAGTGAGGGAGAGAGAGAAAGTTCCGCTGCAAGCTGATACCGGATAAAGCCTCTCCTGGAGATGATTTCTGCGTGGCAGTCATTAACGGTGTCCCCTCGAAGACTAAGCTCCTCTCCCTTAACACAGCGGTTTCCTACAGGCGTAAGACAACAATTATGGCACATCTCTAATTACAGTGCATACATCATGTTGGCTCTGTCTGTGTTTAAGTCTATGGGTCTATGTACCTGTCCCAAGGCTGACAACTGTTCCAAGTGTATCTGATCCGTTTCTCATAACAATGGTGGCAAGAATCTTCCTACCCAGAAGGCTGTGCTGGATGCGAGCTGTGAGTGCATTAAAGCGCTGATGGCTTAGCATGGCGATCTGATCATGCATCGTACTGCCTGATACTGGCAACTGAAACATACAAAAACTATTTTAGTAACTATTTTATTACACATCTCATTTTAAGATTTTGATAGGTCAAGTGCAGCATTGACTGGTCAAATACTTCTGAATAATGACAGTTGTACAGGGAAATAATGTGCAACTGTCTCTAATCTAGGAAATATGTTTCCTATATAATAAATATATCAAAAGAACAGCATTTGTATGAAAAAGAAAGCTTTTGTAACATTATACACTACCATTCAAAAGTTTGGGGTCAGTAGGATTTTTTTTTGGGAAAGAAATGAATACTCAAAAGTGACAGTAAAAATATTTAAAATGTTACAAAAGATTTCAATTTATAATAAATGTTGTTCTTTTTAACTTTCTATTCATCAAGAATCCTGAAAAAAATTGTACACAACTGTGTACAACATTATTATTGATGATAATAATAAATGTTTCATGAGAACCAAATCAGCATATTACAATGATATTTGAAGGATCATGTGACACTGAAGACTGGAGTAATGATGCTGAAAATCAGCTTTGCCATCACAGGAATAAATTACTTCAATTAAAAATTTAATTTAAAACATTTATTTTATGCAATGAGCAGAAGAGACTTCTGTTAAAAACATTTAAAAAAAATCTCTCTCTCTCTCTATAAATATATATATAAAATAAATAATACTTATACACTACACTATTTATAAATCTATAAATAAATCTATATACATTATAAATATAATATTTATATGAATAGTTATAAAGTATATAATATATAAATCCAATAAATATATGAGTTATATATACACATTTACTTACCTAGTACATGTTAAAGCCTTTCAAACAGGGTTCAAAAATACCAGCCATTTGTGAGTAAACTCTTGTTTTGGCAAGTAAACAACAGAATTAAACAGAACTTTATTATTTAAAGTTTCCTTATGTTGCAGTTTACAATAAGTTTTTTTGAATAAGTCAAATTGTAGGAATTGTAATGACCCTTGGTGATGTAAATGTGTGCAAAATAGTTATAAACAGACAAAAAAAAAATCTGTGTGTGGATTTTTTAATAACAATTTAGCATCAAACACGTGTAGCAAAAAGTTAATTTTGTACTGCTTTCAAATATTTGAAAACCCCTCAATATTTAATGGTATCTTTTTTTTAATGCATAGTTAAAAGCAACTGCTTATTTTATTATGAACTTTTAATAAAGTTTCTGCGTGTTTAGTACCTCTGGCGTGAGCTCTCCAGTACGTGCTGCTTTCTCTGCTTCTCCGATGAGCACTCGAAGAGCAGCGTCTGCTGCCTCCTGCTTCCCCTGCTTCTTATTACTAGCACACACTGCAGGAAACCACCGCCCTCCCAATTTAGCCTGGTAAGTAAACCTGTAAAAAAGGGAGATGAAATAAATTGTGATATGAACTTTTTATTGTGTGCCAGAGCAGTGCAGAGTCAGACACCGAGATGAGAATCCTGCTGCTTCTGTAATAAGGACATAAAGATCAAGAAAATGTGACAAAGTAAGAGTGCAAGTGTACTTGGGCTCGTGTGAGAGTCCGGACTGGCCCACAAGGCGGATTTCAGCAGCGAAGCCTCGAGCACGGGCGTACTCGAGGAGGCCGGACACTGCGTTGTTGTTCAGGTGGTTGATGAGGTCACCCACACCTGCTTCATGTGCCGCCTGGAGCTCAGATGCCGTCAGGGGGGGTAGCGAGGGGCACGCAGGAATCGCTGGCTGAGACTCATTTTCGCCCAGAGCAAAGAAATTACCGGGAGGCTGGAAGAGAAAGATTGAGTTCAGTCTATCAGCATATACAATTCTCTCTTTTTTTTTCTTCCATCTTTCAAAGTGCTCTTTTTCTTGTACTGTTGCCAAACCTCTCTTCACCTTGTTAAGATGTAGTAGTCCATCTCCCATTAGCTCCTTCACGGCCTCCTCCGCTGCCAGCTGCTTTGCTGCTTTCTTACTGGGCGCTGAGGCTTCTTGGAAGAGACGCTCCCCAACCTTAACACGGAACATAAACCTGACAGAGGAGGTAAGAAAAAGCAAGAAAGATGGTGGGAGAAAGGAGTGAAAATGACAAATCAGTCACAGTGGACACTAGCCTATATTTTCAAATCTATTGAGGGAGTTCTATTCCATTGAGCTTTGAATCCTCTATTTAGCTTTTACAAATCGCACTGAACAGAATGGGTCATTAAGTTTTATTAAAGAAATTATTATTTTTATTCAGCAAGGATGCATTCAATTCATCAAAAGACTTTGTTACAAAAAAATTCAATTCAAAAAATGCTTGAAAAAAAGTGTGGTTTCCACAAAAAAATATTAAGTAACAACATTTTTCAACATTGATAATAAAAAATCCTTCTTGAGGACCTAAGAATAATTTTAAAAGGATCATGTGACACTGAAGACTGGAGTAATGATGCTGAAAATTCAGCTTTGCCATCACAGGAATAAATTATATTTGAAAATATATTAAAATAGAAGACAGTTGTTTTCAATTGTAATAATTTTGCAATATTGGTTTTAATTATTTTGATCAATTAAATGCAGCCTGGGTGAGCATGAGCAAAAGACTTCTTTCAAAAACATAATAAATCTTAAGACCCAACTACAACAGGGTATAGAAATTCTTAAAATGAATTTACAACCTTTTAATACTTTTTACAACCCCGCGGACACCCTGTACAACCAACTACCTCTACCTTCTTCAGCCATTCAAATGTACTAATATTTGTTACACTGATAAAGCACACTGAAACTGAGAATGACACAGAAACAAAATGATGCATACAAGCATGCTGTCAATTCCTGTTTTTGCCAACTAGAGCCAAAAAAAATGGCCTAGTAAGGCTAGTTTGGCAGGCAGTGCTACATTTACATCAAGACCAATAATCAGAATCGCTCTTTTGCTAAAGGCCATGAATATCCACTGGCACATGACAGAACTACACATGTATGTTTGTGGAGGCTGTCCTGAACCTAACAATACTAAGATTTCTCATTTAATAAGTTAAACAAGAAATGAGGAGAAACTACATTCATCAACTTCATCAAGATATTATACTTACAGTATGATATTTGCAATAATACAGCTACGAACTGTAACTTACTGCTCAGTCCTAAAGTAAAATAAAGCTTTTTTCCTCAACAGAGATCAAGTTTCTCTGATTTATCGGTTTTGTGTTGTTAATTAGGGTGTGACTGAGGGTTTTTCTTCCACACTTGTACACCCTTCTAGTGATGCATTTGTTTTTAAATCAAATTGTGTTTCGAGATGTGATTTAACACACATTTAACATCTCATATTGCTGCTGCTTACATACCAAGGGTATACAACAGGAGACGATATAAAATCATACTGTATTAGGTAGGGGTGTAACGGTACACAAAAATTACGGTTCGGTACGTACCTCGGTTTTAAAGTCACGGTTCGGTACGTTTTCGATACAGCAAAAAGTAAGAAATGCCAGAGAAATTTCCTATTTGTTAAAAGAAAAAATATTTTTTAAATAAGTTGAGTTTTCCTACATCTTGAAACTTTCAGGTTTATAAATGGGTGTCATCTTTGAAGGATGAACAAATAATGTTTTGGTCATCACATTAAAAATAACATTTAAATATATGTAGAGTTCAGATGCAAAAGCCATTTGAAATTTTCTTCTAGAATGATCATTTTTATCAAGCTTGTATATTTAAGTTCAGTAATTTCACTTAAATGGCAATGAAGATTACCTATTAATTGTCATTTGAGTGAAATTACTGAACTTAAATATACAAGCTTCATAAAAATGATCATTCTTGAAGAAAATTTCAAATGGCACTTAGAGGCTTTTGCATCTGAACTCTTCAAATATTTATTTATATAATATTTGAGTTTTGAAGTGCTGGAAAAAGATGTGTGAAGTACTTGAAAGCATTTCACTATTCCAGCCAAACTGGTTACAGTTATGGTGAATGTTGCTGGTCTGTGGACGTAAAGTATTACTAACTTACGGCGCAATATTTCTCCTGGTGTCCACGTCAGCGCTGTTTGATCTAATAGAGATCTACGGTTAATAACGGAGAAATGTGAATGCTTCTCACTAGATCTCGCAGCGATGTTATTACTTCAGTGGCGAATTCAAATGTTTTCTTTACTGGATCTCTTAGCGCTGTGTAGTAACAGTGTCGCTTGATCGAGATCGGCTCGCACTGCACAGATGTTGCTGGTCCTAGAGGTCCGAACTCCGAACTGATAAACGATCCGTGAAGCACATGAGTAGCGCAGTTTCGTTCCGCTTTCTTTACGCTTGCCATTTGATGTTGCGCAACGTTGTGGTGGTCGCGCCAGCGCGAATTTTGTCGGTAGGAAAAATGGTCCAAGGAATCGTTCGGTTTGTATGCGTACCGAACCGGAAGCCTCGAACCGAAACGGTTCAATACGAATACATGTACCGTTACACCCCTAGTATTAGGGACTACATTGCAACAGAAATTTCTCATTTTCAATAAGCACCTCATATCAAATCTGACTTAGACCAGTTCCTGAGATGGGGTTTGTGTTGAGCGCTCTGAGATCAATGAAAACACCCTGAAGCACGCATGCAGACTATACATTCATTTCATTAAATATTCGGTTTAATAATCACACTAGGTCATATCACGATTTCAATCTTATTTTGATTGTTTCTTTTAATTTGTCAATGCAACTTCCTTTGATGCAGACTCAGTTAAATTCTAATGGACAATATCAATAAAAGAAAAATGAGCAAGAACCAGGACAAAATAATGGCACTTTTCCATTACCAGTACCAGCTCGCCTCGACTCGGCTCGCTTTTCGCTCCGTTTTCCATTGCAGAAAGTACCGCCACAAATAGTACCCGGTCGTCATAGCGACGCATTTCGTTCCTCGTTGCCCCATCAAGCTCTCGCTGGATCCTCTCTTCGGCAACCAAACAAAGGAATGTCTGCACCTCTTGTTTGACCACGGCATATTCTTCCGAGTTGCCATAATAATAGTAGTAAGTTTAGTAACTATCTCTGGCCAAACTATTTAAAAATGGCGGGGTTATTCTGGATACTCCATCTGGCGCGTGCAATGATGACGCAGATTCTCTGTGACCAATCAGCAGTCGGCATTGTTTTCACGTCACATTTTAGTATCGGCTTAGCTCGCCTCAGCTCGCTTAGAACCTCGCCGGAGGTGGTACGAAAAAAATTACCCGAAAGCAGGTACAGGTACAACTTTTACACAGTGGAAAACCAAACAAAGGCGAGTCGAGTCGAGCCGAGCCAAGGCGAGCTGGTACTGTGTAGTGGAAAAGCGCCATAAGACAGACAGTATACAGATAAAACAACATTTCGGCCCAGGATCAGACAAAGCAGGCAGGCATTGTTTCACACCCAGCAAAAATCACACTGTAGGGGCAAAGTGAAGAAAGGACACAGATAAACACAAAAGAGGAACAGATAAAGAGATAAGAATAGCGCTACCAAAACGACAATATAAAAGCTCAGTAGGTTCTGTAGAGGCAACAAAGTATTATGGGGCAAAGAGTTGAGGACTTTAAAAGGAAGAGCAAGAATGAGAGGAGATAGTACAGAATGTGCTTGGAGGTGTGGAGAATGTGAGGAGAGCAAGGAAACAGAAGAGCCTGGCAAATAGAGACACATCAGCATGTAATAAAAAGCATGTGGCTTTCTGTAGCAGGATTAAAGGGATGTAACCTAAAGTTCTTTACTGTGGGATGCATTTTACCGTGGATCATGGGGTGGCCCTTCCTGTCCTGTCTTGATAAACTGGATGGCATGCCCACTGCGCTGACTGTGCTCCATCAGGACAGAAACGGGATTCTTTCCTCCAGGTAGAGACCGAGAAAGAGCCTGGGGCGGAGTATCGGTGTCACCCTTTAGAAATGATATGAAGAGAGCGAGAGAGGATGAATAAATAAACAAATTAATCAATTTTATTTGAAATTAAAGGATTAGCTCACTTCAGAATTGAAATTTCCTGATAATTTACTCACCCCCACGTCACCCAAAATATTCACGGCTTTTTTTCAACAGTCGAAAAGAAATTTGAGGAAAATATTCCAGGATTTTTCTCCATATAGTGGACTTCAACGGTTATCAACAGGCTGAAGGTCCAAATCGCAGTTTCAATTCAGCTTCAAAGGGCTCTACACGATCCCAGCCGAGGAATAAGGGTCTTATCTAGTGAAACTATCAGTCATTTTCCACACACAAAAAAAACGCAATAGGCTCTATGCACGATCGCTTCCGTGTTTTGTTTCAGCCCGCCCAGTTACATCCGGTGCTGCGTCGCAAGCCATTTTTGCATTAGGTGGAGATAATGGCAAATTACACTCGCTGTTTACAAGAACTTCCACCGGTTAACGTGAATGTTAACAATATTGTGAGGCAGTTAGCGGTCACACATAATAGAGTAAGAAAGAGAAGGGCATTAAATTATATATTTCAAGCTACATCGACAACTTTGAGGGTGAGTAATCTCTCATATGATGCGAAATCCGACTAGCGAATCAGTTTCTAAAATTGTTGTCACTTTTCTGAGAAAATTAATTTTATTAAAGTTTGGCCGCTAGTACACTTCGCTATAGAACGCACTATGCGGAGTAGGGGTGGGAATCTTTGGTCACCTCACGATCCGATCCGATTCCGATTCTGGGAGTCATGATCCGATTCCAGAACGATTCTTTATCTACCTTCCCCCCTTATTAATTCATTAGTTTACATAAGTAATTAAGTACTTTTTAAAAAATAATTACAAATTTTTTTTTTTTTATTAAAACAGTTGTATGTTAAGAATTTTAAACTAATATAACAAATAAAGAGGAGCATAGAAAAATATAACAAACAACAAACAAAAAGTGCTTTCAGTAGCCTATAGATAATCTGAACGTTTTCCATTCAAGAACTGTGAGTGATTTTTCTTCATCTTTACTGTTGTTTTTTACTATGACATCATAGACTGCGGGAGATCTATTAAGCTGCATTCACGCACGCATCTCTTTTGAAATAAAAGTAGTAATGCGGTGTGTCCTGTCCGTTTAATCCCTTAAAACACAACTGGCTGTGTTTACGTTAATTTTGCACAAGTACATTACCTGTACATTTAAACTCATGTACATTTAACATTTAACTCGCTAGAGTGTGGAACTGAGAAAAATGACTTTAAAGATTTTTAGTTGTCCCGCCAAATTAATTATAGGTAGGACGCTGAAAATCTGGCAATTAGATGTTTAAGTAATGAAAATTATCTACATAACAAAATTGAGCTCAAACTTGACTTGACCACTATTTTAAAGTTACTGTATTCTGCCTTTGTATTGTCAGCAAAAAGTGAGAAGTCATGCCAAGGCAAAAGGCAGTAACTTCCACATTTTCAATATTTGGTTGCTGATCACCATTAACAAAATCATTATAGTAACACCTGTATAAAATCTAGTGATCATGGCATTTATTTTGCATGATTTACAATTACCTAGCCTTCTAGTTATTGTGCTTTGTTTGCATTCCGGTGGCCCTATTAATACATTAGACATGACAAAATACCTCCATAGCGGTAAAGACTAAAGAGAGTATCTTCAAGTGGTAGCCTACCGAGTGGCATAAGACTTGCTAAACACGCATTATAATGTAATGTAATGATCACGATAAAACCGATCCTCGCGCACATTCGACCCGGAGACTGGTTTATAGCGGTGGATCTGAAAGACGCATACTTTTACAGGCGTTTACCGAGATTCGTGTTCGAAGGTGTCACGCTCCGTTCACGAAAAGTAGCCTATGCAGTGCTTTACCCCTTAGGACTCAGTAGGAAGCGTGTTCTGGACTACTTAGACGACTAATGCATTTATAGCACAACCTTCTGTGTTCTGCGTCTTTTCAGTATGCGTTGGTTTCAGCTGTCTGCCCTATTATTGTGCGTGCACTTTGCTCGTCCCGCGGATTTATTCCGGACGCTGTGTTTTGTATGCATGCTTTTAACAGCTGTTCTGATGTTGTATGCACCAGCACTTCTTGCTTCATTATGTTGTATGCGCCAATATACCCTTGTTGCTTCATTATTATCACTCTGTGATATATTAGTCCCGCGTCGGCTCGACCGTGTTCAGGGCGGAGCTGAAGGTGCCGGCGAAGTTTTGGCACTCTTCCAGCTAGATGCATGATTGTTTCAACTAGGTCCGGTACCCGAACTAGGTGAGGCGGGGCTTTAGTTCTTTGTTGTATTGACCTACTTCGGCATGTGTAACATTTTTCTGTCAACTCTGCATATATCCTTCGCGATCGATATCGCACGTTTGTCGATGGAGCGGGTTAGAGCATACTAAATGTTCTGATCGCATTAGTGCAGGACAAAGCTCTGAGGACATCAGAAGTTACAGGGACGGATGGTAGCTGTACAAAGTACACAGGCTACATCGTAATTTCAATTTTAACGGAGAGTAAAACAAAGGCAGCACACCGTATAATCTGATGGGTAGCATTATTTGATAGAACGCCAGCACAGTAACTTCATATTGACGCGTGGCTAAACAAAGGCAGATTGCCGTAACTCAATATGAGCGTTCCAAAACTAAGCCAAAGAGCCGTAACTGGTGTTACGGTGTTCTGCCTTGGTTTCTCATGGGCTTTTGGAAGTTACGTTTAAGACAACACATTATTTTCTCAAAAAAACAACGGAATTGACTCAAGATACTTATCCACATGATAAAGGAGGTCTTGTATGTGCCAAAAATATCAATAACTCATTTTCGACCAAAAACGAAGTTACGGTCTTTTGCCTTTGCACGGCAGATTAAACCACTACACGGAGTCGCACAGCCGCATGCGCGAGCAGTCTCACAAACAAAGCGCACGTCAGCATTTGAAATTGAAAGCAGCCTTCTGTTAGTGAGGTTCATATTTTAAATATATAAGTCCACTGCATTCCAAACCACATAAATGATGACTTCGTAGAGCATTTGTAAGGAAAATACCGACGGGCGAGACAGCACACTTCAAGTGTAACATCAAAGAAAGCGCGCGTCTCTCACAGCGTATTCTGTGCAATGAAGCCTGTGAATGTCCTTGTAATTCGCTTCAACCTTTCCGAACTTTATGAAAGATTATTTTACGGAAGGTTCGAGTGGTGTATGTGTGTGAGGAATTGGAAGCAAGCAGAATACGGGTGTTTCTAAAGCAAACTCAACGTCATCGCACATCTGGTTAAAAACTAAGCTCAGAATCAATTCTGGAATTCTCAGAATCGATCCAGAATCGTTGGAGAGAGAATCGCGATGCATCGATGGATCGATTTTTTCTCCCACCCCTTATGCGGAGGTAAAGACACTGGCTGAGATTCTACCGGAAACACGTCAGCAGCGTTCGTGCATAGAGCCTATTATATACTTTTTACCCACAAATGCTCGTCTTGCATGTCCACGTCTTCACGCATTACGTAATCACGTCGGAAAGGTCAGGCGGTAACCTGACGTAAACGGAAAATGTAGGGTAGGGCAAAAAACTCCTCATTTTCTTCAACTACAAAATCGTCCGACATCGTTGTTTTACCTTTCATTTATTTTAATTTTTTTGTAAAGGGCGTTTGACTTCGTCTTTGTACGTTCGCTTTGTAAACACTAGGTCGGTACTTCCACCTACCTTTGAGTGACCTTTCAACGTGATTACGTAATGTGTGGCGCATCACAGCTAGTGCAAGACGAGCATTTGCGGTTAAAAGGCATAAATGTTTTTTTTTTTTTAGAAAATGACCTATCGTTTTGCTAGATAAGACCCTTATTCCTCGGCTGGGATCGTGTAGAGCCCTTTGAAGCTGAATTGAAACTGCGATTTGAACCTTCAGCCTGTTGAAGTCCACTATATGGAGAAAAATCCTGGAATGTTTTCCTCAAAAACCTTAATTTCTTTTCGACTGAAGAAAGAAAGACATGAATATCTTGGATGACGTGGGGATGAGTAAATTATCAGGAAATTTTAATTCTGAGGTGAACTAATCCTTTAAATCAATATTATATTTAAATAAATATTTTTTTATTATATGTAATATACAACATACATATATTTTATAAATGCACATTTAAATGAAAAGGCAAAATAGGACATCAAAGATATTATCTGTAGGAGATTAAATTATCAGGTTTCATGCAACTTTGATACATAAAAAGAAAACAAACATACTAGCATATCATCTGACAGGTCAGTGGTTGACTCAGCTCCCTCCATGCTCGGTTCTTCCTCTTCCTCTCCATCTCCACCTGCTCCCTTCATCTCCTTCCAAAGAATCTTCAGGGTTATGGCTGCAGCATCTTTTTTGGCCACTTTTTTGTTTGAACCCTCAGCTGGTGGAAACCTGCGACCATCTAACATGACCTGCATCCGAAACCTGGAGACAAAAAGAAAAAATCTTAAGCTATAAACCGTGTTTAAATGTAAACAGTTTGTTTCTACTAATTCTTAATCATGCAATCTCATTTCACCAAAATTCACCAACAAGAGAACATTACTTCTATAACATCTCCAAAAATAAATTGGCTGTTTCACAAATTCTTAAATTAATCACAGCTGTGTATCTGCCTTCCAAACACATACACTGCCAAAAAAGACAGAGCCAAAAGCTGTCTTAACACAGGCGAACAAATGCTGACATGCAACCTTAAACAAACTTTTCATCTACTAACCGGGGGTCATGTGAGGGTCCAGACTGCTCCAGAAGTAGGAACTCACAAGTGTGTCCAAGATGCTGAGCAAATTCCATCAGCCCGCTAACTGGGTTCTTACTGCGGGCCTCCTTGAGTTTCTGGAATCTGCTTGACTCCAGGCTTTGAGCTGGGGGAGGGGGAGCAGCCAACGAAACGGCAACCTCGGAGTGGATCGTGTTCAGGAATTCTGGAATATCATCAGATGCCCACTGTGAACGTTCTCCTCCATTACTGGCCATATCCTGATAGTATGAGAACTGATGGGGAGGAGGTTGGAAGTAGCGGAAGGTGGAGGAGGAAAGGTCACTGGGTTTGGGGGGTATTGGCTCAAGGCCAGGCATGTCAAGCTCTGAGTTACCAAAAATGTTATTGTTGTCCAACATCTCCACCAATGGATTTTTACCCCCATCCATCGGCACTGCTCCAATATCACCTGAAAATTCAAATACATCATCTGGTTCCAACTTGACTGAAGCTACGTCTGCAATCCCTTCAGCTGCCAAGTTAAACATCTCGGCACTGTTAACGTCCCGTTTTCCAGTCGCTGCAGCTTTTCGTTGGCGGTCCATCTTTTCCTGCCGGTGTGCACTAAGTGACCATGTAGGTGGAGTAACTTCGGTATTGCGCCTTACATCACCTTGTTTCTCCATGGCATAGAGTGTGGGATTAACCTGCTTGGCACTGCGCAGGCCGAGGTTCTTGGAGATCACAAGCGAATTACCCGTACCCACTTCATAGAGGTACTGTAGGATCTTCTCTTTGCCATCTTTAGAATCAGCCATTGTTGACAAGGTTACCAACTGGACTGCAGGTAAAAGAGTCTGTTGATCCTGGACAGGAATCAACGTTTCACAGGTATCGTCACCTTCAGAGTCCTCCGCCTGGTCACTGATATCGCCGTCAGCCTCTACGAGGATCTGTGATGCAGAGGGAGCACTGGTGCTGGTGAAATGCTCTATAGCCTCTTGTTTTATGGATGAACTCTGACCTGGCTCTTTCACCAAATCCTTTGAAGACTGCGATTGGTCTCTTCCTTTGATTGGCTCACTGTCCTCTTCCTTGCAGAGTCTCCACAGAGGAGGAATCTCACCTTGCTTCACTGCTTGGTTTGCCCTTAAGAGGGCATATAAAGCCTTATTAACAATCGTTTTGGGAAGACCAAGCTTTTTGCCCAAGGCTCTTGCCTGAATGGTCTCGTCTGGCCCGAGTGATGTCAAAAAAGCAAAGACCTGTTGCTGGATCTCAGGGGTCAAATACAGAGACTCTCTGACTGAGCCAGAAGAACTGAAAACCTTGCTAGAAATGCTACTGCAGGACAAAATGTCAGAGTTGTCTACCCTTGTTATCTGGTCACTTAAACTCAGACTATGAAGGCCAGAGGACACATCATCTGCCTGTGCATTCCAGTAATGCTTAGTCTGTTGATTTGGATAATACTGTCCCTTCTGATGAGGGTGATTCCACCCTGACTTTTTCTTAGGGTTAAAGTTAGGCTCCCTTTGCCAGTTTCCTCGGCCTCTCGTGTAGCAGTCTCTTCTTCCGAAACTGTTACCACTTGTTTTGAAGTCTCGATAACCTGTCTGGTAGTGGAGAGGCCCAGTTGAGACCTTTTCCCCTTGGCTGGGGGTTTGGGACCCTCGCTGCTGGGGTGCTTTGAACTGCGGAGCCTGTGCACTTTGCCCCCTGAGGAACTGGACCTGGTATTGTCGGAAACTTATACCATTTGGGTCGGAGATCTGATCACTGCTGTGGTGGGGGGATGCCCACAGGGGTGAATCAGAGGGACTAGGGGGAAAAGGATGACCACGTGGCACGCCAGGAGCACCCGGGTAAGAGGAGTAAAGAGAAGGGTGCGGATAGCTGCCGGATACAGAGCCGGGGCTTGGGACACAAGGGCCCCGTTGGTGACCAGTGGTCGTGTGGGAATGAAACTGAGGTTTTCCCTGTTGGGGAGAGAGGGAGAATCGCTGGCAATCTTTGTTAAACCCTCCTCTACCTCTGCTCATAGCGCAGGGGTCGGGGGCGAGGAGGGAGTAGCGTTGGACTTGGTGGACGTGTTAGGATGAGACTCAGCTGTCTGGATGTAATGTCACAATGATAGCAATAGGATAGTCGGTGCACTGGTTCTTCTGCAGAGAGACATAGAACAACAGAAAAATTCATTAAAGAATGCAAAGTGAAAGCAAGCTTTTTGATGTTGCAGTGTCACTGTACAGACACACAAATTCTGTTGGCACATTTCTTGGCAACAGAGCAGACTGTAATTTGAACACTTGGTAAAGGGCTCACAGATTAATTATTCATGCTTATTGTGACAATCAATTTATTTCTGGCTTAGGGAGTAATTTGCGGATCCTTATGGTGAGGGAAAGTGGTCATGGGTATTAGAGGAAAGCATTTTCAAGGACATTCTCTCCGAATGTGAGAAACTATAGTAGCTTAAGCACAATGAGTAAAGCTGTGTTTTAAGAGACTGGAAAAACATCAGAAGACAGAAATAAAAGTGAACCTAACACTTGTTTACAAAATGCAGTACTCTCTACTACAGCATAGTACATGTCTGGTGAATTGCTGTGAGTTTAAAATAAGTTGCTTATTAAGATTCAACAGTCCTCACAATACAGCAGGTCAATAGAGAGTTTAGCCAGCAGCAAATTAATTATTTTTAATAGATTCAGGAAACAATAGCTCAGAAAAATAGCAAGGTTATCACACATTACATAAGACACAAAGTAAAAATTAATGTGAGGTAAATTTTTCTAACCACATAATTTTTGCATGTTACTTTTTGTTACATTCCAGTGTACAATGAAAATTAATATTAAAAACACACATACCTGAACTCATATCCTCCTATCAAACCCTAGCATAGACAAGAAATTCAGCACCTTGGTGCAGCTCCACATTTAACTTCAGACATAATAGCGGCAGCGCACTCTCTAAATAAGCTTAAGTGAGAGGGAAAGTGATTCTGCTGCTCAATCTCTTTCCGTGTGCTCCTCCATGAGCATTCTGAAGTGACAGTCACACTTGTCACTTTTATATCCCCAATACAAATCTGGCATTTAAGTGGCCATTCCTTTCAAAATACACTGAGGTAGCACAGTATAGAGATGGTACCAGATTGTAATTCCATGTTATATTTATATACCCTGGTACCAATACCATGGTACTAACATGGCACTCCAAGGTATTTTAAAGAATACCATTTTCCTTTTACCAAGGAAAAGCCTGTTGTAAGAGCAGAAAGTTTAGCCAATTAGCCATTTAAATAAATGAATGTCTTCAAAACTGAGAGTTGAGGTAGATAGGTTATTAAACATTTATTTAAATATTGGAAAATGACTGATTGAAAAAATAGGAAATGTTACATTTAACCTCTTAACCGAATGGATTTTCACATTATCATAATAATGAGTTTAAAAAAATAGAGATTGCATTCACACAAAGCAATTTCTAACAAACACAATATTTCTAAGAAAACAACTGCATATGCTTGACACAAATGACTTAGAGGACTTCAAGTTTTACACATTCCCATGACTTTGGAAAGTGGTCTGGATTCTGTTTCTGTTCTGTTCAATTTTAAAATTCCCTGATAGTTCTAGCTAAGTGTTCTATGACCGTGGAAAGATGGGAACCATTATACAAATTTTTAATGGCTATCACCCAAAAGCATAAGTGGGGCCCTCTAAGGATGAAAATAATAGGGTGTTTATTACAAAACTATTTTATCTAATGCCTTCTTTAAAATGAATTACTGACTCCTAGTTTTAGCAGATTCTACAGTAATTGTTCAGTCACTTTGGCAACAAGAGTGTTTACCTACACAAGTAAAAACCCATTCAGACGAACCCAAAAAGTTATACATACCACAAAAACACCTGAAGGTAAAAGACAGATGAACTTGACAAATAAACTAGATAGTGCACGAGTTTGGGCCTTGACTAAACGCTGTTCCGCGTGCAAAACGAAAATGAAATAGACGGATTTAAACTCCACCAATACTCCTACGTTTTCCCTGGTGGCCTCTGCAAATGGTTTAGATCCACAAACTCCACAACACGAGATGATCCTGAAACTTGTCTACACTTTTGGAAAGTGTGTTGGAAAAACGATATCAGCAATAAAAGAAAATAGAAACCATTCGTAAAAGCAGAATGTTGCGAACTAGGCACAGACCACTTTAAGTTTCGTTTTCTATTCTCCTCCAAGCTCTCAAACTACTGTCTCTAAAATGCATTGATAACCCGCATTTCGCTAAACTGACAGCAGGCGGCGCCATTAGTCAGAAGCTCTTGAAAGTTTCATAGGCCTATTTTACAGTTTCACAAACTGTAATTACACCATTTAATTATAACAACATCCCAATGGAGTAAAACGTACCTGAAAACACAAATACCAAGAAATCGTTCCTAGCCTAGGTTAATAAACTGTGAAACAACTCGTGCGGGGACGACTGTATTCATATTACTGCATATCAGTTAACAGCGCGACATATTAATACTGCATCGCACTACTCATTTTATCATAGCCGTTGAACTATTGGTTTCGTTTCAGATTTCACCAGCCAGCAGACGGAAAGCAAACCTCCACCTGCGACCCTCCCAGATGCATAATACATGAGGTTACAGTACTGTGACCGACATGAAACTGCACTACAGTTTATAACCTCCTGCTGATGCCTGAGGTAGCTTAACATCTTCAGGAGCTCGTAAGTGTAAAACGGTTCTGAGGATGCGCGTGCCTCGACTTCACTTCTCTAAAAGAAAAGGTCTGGAAAAATACGGGTCATGTACAGACAAATGTCTCCAGAAGGCGCTTAATAACACAGTTTATCCAATACACACAGAGTTGTAACTTAGTAGCTCAGGGCTTTAGGCTACAGAGCATCAAAGACAGAATGACAGCAACTGCTTCACCATATTCAAGAGTTGATGTAACGTTATAGCCTACGAGTATTCTTTAAAATCTTTTCTATTATTATTATTATTATTTTGCGTCACTATATTTATTGTGAAACGAATAACGTACTTTTTAATTTAACGTTAAATGTCTTCATACAGCAGTATTGTAGGGATAACAGTGTGAAGTGAGTGTATAAATAATTCTACGAGTAAATAATTATGGTACTTACTTTTTTGTTATTGACCGGAATACCTATTAGAATTTTAATAGTTTGATTTTTAAAATTGTATTTAGTACGTAACCGCAGACATATTAGACTGCATAACGTTACATTCACCATACAAGTAACGTACATTTCAAGAGTCCCGTGCGAAAAAGAAATGCGGTACTATGTCTTTGCGTTAGGGTAATATCATTGTATTATTTTTGTTCTTACTCAACAAAAACATATTTTTTCTAAACTAATCCCAAAATTATCGTCTTGGTCCAGTATCAACAAGCCCTTTAAGTTGTGAAAACCGATAACTAGTTACAAGGACATCGGAGGTTGCTCAGTTTGAATGTAAACATCGCTGCCTACGCAAGTAAGCAAATACAACCCGCTATAAATCATTTGCTAATCATTAATTCAACTGCAAGCATGCAACAGCATACAATTAGAGTTAACTAGGGTAAAAAGACTCAATGGACACGGCATATGGACTATTCTTTCGACAGCCATCGACAATCCGCGATCGAAGAAGCTTTGAAGCATTTCTCTCACTCCAGGACAATCCACTTCCCACTCCGTTCCGAAAACGCGTTGATATAGTAAATAACATAAAACTATGTAAGTTACATGGAGTAAATATACTTACATGCGCAGACGACGTAAACAATCCTGCAACGTCCCTGCAAGAGGCCACATGCAGATTGAAAACACAGCGCTGGTGAATGACAATGAAATGTGGCGCGTAGCTGCGACAGTGTTTTTGACGCTCTCTGATGACGTAGAGGCTTCGCAAGAAACCGCAATGTGATCCTGAAAACACGATCGGTTATTAATGAAATGAAATAGCGATTTGTGTAATGCATGACTTGAAATTGTTTTAGTAAATAATGCTCGGTATGGTTTATAGCTAGTAATATTCCCAGTGTCGATCAGTAAGAAAGAATGTAATATGATATCATAATATATATAGTAATATTCAGGTGCCTGATTTTCCTCACTCTGGAGCTTGAGTTTTCAAACTGGGGGCCGCTTGGGAGTACTAGGGGGTCCGTGGACAAGTTTAGAGAAATGCAGTGTAAAAAAAATGTAAAAAAACCAAATACAAATTAATAATAATTAAAAAAGGATTAAACCAACCAATAGTTAAATATATAAATAAATGTAAAATAAATCAAGATGAATTAAAATACATAATAAATGAATCAATTACATTAAATAACTCAATAAATAAAACGTTTTATTAAAATAACAGTACATTAATTTAGATTTAAATAAATAGGCTACATTTTGATTTAAATAAATAAAAATTGATCTGAGGAGGAAAAAAAAAATCAATGATGTAACAGCACAAATTATTTTACAAATAATATTTTACACATTTAAAATAGGCCTATATTTTCCCACAGTGTTAATTGGGTCTTTTACCAATTTTGTAGCTGCCTTTAAAAATGTAGGATGAGGATCAATAGTGATTGCAGGAGTCATAGCCTATTTGGCAGTTCATGGCATCTAAAAGATTAAAAGATAACCTGTTCTGGAGGTAGCGATATGTCCAGACTGTCCGCTGCAGCCTTGTTTTGTCTGATTTGGTGAGCAAACCTAACCAGACAGTTCTAAAGGTGTACATGACAGACTCTGTGACTACTTAATAGACCCATATCAGCAGCTTCAGTGGCAGGTTGAACTTCCTCAACTGGCAAAGGCAGTAGAAACTTGTACTAGGCCTGACGCTCATGCTGCTGCTGAAGTGACACAAGCCGTCTTGTGTTTCAGGTCCCATTTGTTCTTTAATTGTTAAATGCCTGATAAAATCACTGGGGTGAAGGTCAGTGACATGACCCACAGAGAGCAACACTACTGTTACAAATCCCATTCACAATTTATACAGCTGCTAAATTATTCCTGCGTTGGCACCTCTGCCCACATCTTTTCGATGTGTATAAGATACACTTTTCAGTGTATCTGTCACTGGTTCTCACTGAGAGGCCACCAAAAGGTCACACAGACAGAAGCTTTGGGTCAATAAATCAATTTATTTAAAAGAATATGTTACATTTTATTATAATGCTATGAACAAACGTTTTGCGTTTACATTAATTCATATCAACTTGAGATTTTGATTTCAAAACCTTCTCCAGGTATAGTTTGTTTTGTTTTATTTTCTGTGTCCTACATTGCTTCTTTAGGTTTATACTAGTCACTTTGTGCCTGCTTTTTTGAAAAGGTTACCCAAAAACTCACAGCGCTGAAAATACTGTACAGAGATATTTGAGTTTGAATTCCATATTCAAATAAATTAAAGTTTTCACCAATAGAGAAAAACAACCAGAGCAAACAAACGGAGAGAATGAAAGAGTAAAGAATGAGAGAGGGGAGAGACGAAGTTAAAAGTCTCATCTTAAATCTATGACAAGCCATCTGACAAGAAAGAAGAGACATTTGTTCCGTATGCTTGCGCAGAGGCTTTGCGTGAATCTGTGAAATCCCATGATAACCAACATAACTGTTATATAAGACAATCCAACACAACATAAATCCACTGATGGTTCTGTTCAAAGTCGTTGCTTACTCAATTAGTCTATTAAAGGAATATTCCTGGTTGAATACAAGCTAATTCATTTCGATTCATCTCTTTAGTAAAAAAGTTAATAAAATAAAAAAGCTACAATCAAGGATATGGTGGGGCCATATTTAGAGGTTTTAAAAGCAGAAATATGAAGCTTATAAAACATGAATTCTTCTGGTAAAACTTGTGTATTATTTGAACTGTAAAGTTGTCATAGCTATGAAACTATAAAGTTGGATATAACATTACACAGAAAACAAACAATTTGAGACACACACACAAAACACGTGTTAATACACATTATGCCTTGTGACTGTATTAAAAGTCAGTATTTAACTTTTCCATATTGGCCCCATTAGTTTCCATGATAAGTGCCTCACTGTAACCCAGATTTTAAATTTGGTAAACAACATTGTGGCGATTAATATTAATTTGTATTGAACCAGGAATATTTCTTTTAAGTCAATGAATGTGCTGAAACTTTTAAAGGAACAATGCAGTTTAACAACACACATCACACATATGTTATTTAAAAAGTGCAAAACATGTCCTGACTTGTCTGGTCCGACAGATTTGTATGCGCCTGCGCTACAATAAGTAAAATTGGGGCGGAAGGGGAAAAAAATTAAATGCTCACACACTCACACATGGTTTGATGTAGACAGCTTCCTGTGCGGTCAGAGCTATGGGTCAGAGCCACCTACTGCTGGATGAAGGCATGACAGCCTAAAGCGCATAAAACAAGCAGCCCAATATTCACGATTAACACTATTGGTTTTCCAATTCAGTGCCTTACATTTATAACACTGTTAATACTATTAAACTGAAGTTATATATGAGCTGAGTGAACACCCACACAGCTCTGTTACAGATGATTTGTGCGCAGGTGTTCAAGATTGATGGCCAGATCCACACAGGCTCTCTGCAGATTTACAACAACACTCATAATTCACAAGTTTTTCAGCCCTTGATTGTTCACTTATTAATTTAAATCATACATTTAGCTACCAATATAGGTACTTTTAGCTGCATGTGTTCAGGTCAATGACATGCAACAGTGTCCATGAGGAGAAAATATATAGAGCCTATTAAAATAATAACTTAATTGAAATAAAATACAAAAATCCAAGTATAAAAAAAAACCATTATTATTTTATTTAAATATGTATGTTTTTGAAAATTCTGGAATTATAAATGATTCTGGTTAATTTATTTAATATATGGACACTCCCAGTTTTGACAAAAAAGTTTGAAAACAAAACATGGGCTTTGTAATAATTACACCAAATTTATCAGTAAAAATGTAGCAAATATGAGGGGCCTTTGAAAATGGTGTAAGGCAAGTCGAAAAAGTTGAGAATCACTCATTTAAAACTTTTTTTGAAAAAGTATTTTTTAAATTAAAAAAGTATTGTTTTTACCATGTTTATTTGGGGGGGGGGGGGGGTGGGAGTTACACCACATGACTTTAAATCCAGAACCCCCCCCCCCAAAAAAGAAGGAAAAAATTAGTTAAACTTTAAAAAGATGTGTATTTAATATCTTTATATATGAATCGCATTTTTAACATTTTGATTTGAATAAATAATAGATTTAAAAGGAGCGTCACGTCATTGACCCATTTAACACATTTTACCAAAAGAAAAATCCATTAAAATCTGCACAGAAATTACATCTGGACCTGGCGATAGCTAATGCAACCAAATACTGCTTTGAAGAATAAAAGACAGATGAGAGCACAACAAAAAACAATTAAATTAAAAATCTCAGTTCAGCTAAAGGGCTGAAAATCTGTACAAACCTACTACCAACACAGTGGCAATAGTGAGGTAAGAGACAAATTAATGTGGAAAAGCATGGAAAGTATTGATCTGTCTCTTTTGCCCTCGTTTCTACTCGCTTGAAAAGCCTTTTTTTTCCTCTTTCTCTTTCCCTCTCTCACTCTGATTGTCCAAGTGGAAAATGCAGTAATGTTTTTGTTTTATATTCTTTTTTGTTTAAAGGTGCACTATGTAACTTTTTGGTTTTCAAAATATATATAATGAGCGAGCACATCATTAATCCATCTTCCAAACCGCGTTTGTCTTATCCTGAATCACTTCGGTACGCCTATAATAAGAGTTTATATTCGGACTATTTTAGACCGAGCAGGATGCCATTACTGGCGTGACCGGTATAGACATAAACTCCGGCCAGAATGTTCTTCCGCAAGACTCATGCAGCTTTGTTTATTAACCGCTAGTTACACAGTGTACCTTTAAATTGTCACATTCTGAGAGAGCATCTCTGCCCTCACATGTGTATGTGTTAGTGTCAGGATGATACATTAGTCAGTTCGCTGACGTTTCCATGTCTTTAAATTGACACACTCCTCAGAAGCACAGTTCAGTCTCTCAGTTGTCAGCATCTGAAGACCTCGTCTTGTGACCAGTCACATGACATGAATTAGTCACAATGCTGGTGCCATGTCAATGACCACGTCTGTCTCCTGGAGCATTACAGTCTTTGAGTGTCGTCTCTTCTGTCCTGAGCTGGCGGTCAACTCCAGTACGTACAACATAATTCTGTCCAGTCCAATGAAATGAAATGATGACGTAAGTCTTTAAAAGTCTCTTGTAGTTTCTTATTTTCATCATTGCACTGTGATTGTGTCATTTCCCGCTTCATATCTTCGTATTTCAGCATGTGTGTATCAGTGGTGGAGTGCATGTAAGCATATGGGACTGGTTTGAAATGTTTTCTGAGTCACTGTATGCAGCTTTTAGTGTACGTGTGCATGTATTCAAGAGGAGATGATCTCTTCATTCATGTGCCTCCATCCCTTCTGTGTCTCAACAGCTGGAAGATATTCTGTCAAAGATAGACAAGCTTCAGAAGAGCACACATTATAGATGGACATTAATGTCCACAATTCAATATGGAGGCAGGCATAGCCTTACCTTACCGCACATACCATCTTTACTGCAGTTTTTATTGTCCTTGTCTGTGGCCTCCTCTTCAACCTGAAAAAATATATCAATCTTATAACAACACAGAGCAAAAGACAAGCAAACACTCATATAGAATATAAGTACCCACCTCTTTTCTCCATTTGAGCTCACAGAAGACTCTCTCAAAGCACTCGTGCATGTAGTTGAACTGGAAAAGAAAAGGCATCTTTAGTGCACAAGAATAAATGCAAGTTGCAAGATCACATGGACGTACAAGACTCACATAAGGAGTAAAGATTTTGACCCAGCGAGGTTTCTTCTCCCCTCGCGCATACTCGAAACAGAAAGCCATTCCCTCTTCATCCGTGTCCCATCTCTGCATCTCGGACCATTCGAACGCTATCACCTGATTCTGTAATCACACAAAGGGAAAATCATTAAGCAGCTGAACTGTTTTTTTCTTACTTATAAAAGTACGTTTCTGAGTGGTATCAACAACATGTACTACAATTCAATTATGACACCTAGCAAGCAATGTTTCACTCCTTCAAAGCAAACACATTCACCTCTAGAGTGCCATCATCTGTGCACGCATGGAGTTTAAAGTGGTGGATGCTTATCGCTGTGACGACGTGACCTTTCCTACGTGAGTCACAGGAGCAGTGCGGGAAAGTGATCTCATTGTAACCCTCACATGTCCTCAGAATACCTAAATACTACAGAGGAAGATGGTACAGGAAGATTAAGATTCATTTTTTCACAATCACTTTTCAATTAGGGATGTACTGATATTAAAACTCTTTATTATCAATGTTGAAAACCGTTGTGGTGTCTGATATTTTTGTGGAAACTACGTTTAAAAGAACAGCAATTATTTGAATTAGAAATCCTTAGTAACATTTTAAATGTCTTTATGGCCACTTTTTAAACAAAAAAAAACCTTACTGACCCCAAACTTTTGCACAGATGTGTACATTCACATTATTTACAGGGCAGTATTACAGTTATACACTACATTGCCTAAATATTAAAAAAGATAGTTTTATAGATTTGCAAATCTTACATTTAACAGTGTTATTAAATTATTGCAGCTATTATGGCTCGTTTCCACTGAGTGGTACGGTACGGTACAGTTCGGTTCGGTACGCAATTATTTGCGTTTCCACTGTCAAAAGTTGTGAATGGTACCAAAAAGCCGAACCGTACCACTTTTTGGGTACCCTTCCGTTGGGGTACCTAGCACAGTGGTACGGTACTAAAAGGTGGAGCTAGACTCACTGCAGAACGGTGATTGGTTGACAGAGTATCGTCACTTTTTTTATTTTATTACAAGATCATCTGTAATGTTGTTTACTGCAACATTTGTACCAATGCAATATGCAATACATTGCCTGGAATATGTTTAATATTTTTAAATTTAAACGAAAAGAGGCAGGGTTGTGTTTTATATTTAGTTTTGTTATAAATATAACGTTACATACATGCAGTGAATATAATCAATAGGCTATGCGTTGCCTGAACCACATGTGTGTGCTTATAATGTTTAAAATGTATTTAAATTAGGGGTGTGACGGTTATTATATAACCGTGAGACCGACGGTTATAGTTGAACACCGTCATTAGAACTCTATAACCGCCAAAACCGTGCTATTAAAATATTTTTTACAAACATTTTTTATCATAGAGAATGTTTAAATACTAATATCAGCTTACGAGGGAAACGGAGGCGGAGTTAGTGGTGCTTCGGAGGTTGCTACTGCTGGAGATGATTCGGGAGAGGTCTGTGCACCTTTACCGATCAGAGCGCGTGCTGACACGGAGTAAAGCCTTGTTTATACTTGACGCGTCCACACGAGCGCAAGGTGCGCACGGCAAAAAATGACGCGCTGGGTGCGCAAGACCGGCAAGACTTAATTTCGCTTGGCTGTGTGCACAGCTTTTTTCGTAACAGCGCGCGCGGCGCCACGTCTGAGGATGACCGACTTCAAGCCGAATCTGCCCGAGCATGTATGTCTCACCGCACCGGCACGCAGTTTGCGCGTCTAAATTACAAAGTTCATTTGTTAAGGTTTTGTTTACTGTGTGTGATTCATTTAATGGAAAGCACATTCACTTTTAGTTGTCTTGCTGTTCATTTTAAGAGCGAGTTGTCCTATAACAGACGAACAGTTATTCAACCGAACGTCCTATAACCCCCCACCCCCGGACGACGACGGTTATGTTACGAACCGTCACATTTGACTCACGTCATAACCGTCATCACCAATTCTGAAACCGGCACACCCCTAATTTAAATGAAATCGAAAAGAAGCTGGTGTAGAAGCGGTGTTTTATAACATATTTCGTTTTATTGTTGCCTAAAATGTACATAACCGGAGTAGCAGAGCGAGCTGAGTGGCGCATTCAAGAACGCGCTGTTCCATCAGCAGAATTACTGGACTCGCGTCCTCGGGATCATTCTCCTGAGTCGGACTTTGCGTGGCTACTTGGTATTGAGAATACTTGGTATACTTGGTATTGTTGCTCTGTTTACCATTTGTCAAGTAAGTAGGGCTATTTTCGATTCTTTGCTTCTTTGTAATTTTTATCTTCACTAAATATCTTTATTTTAATTAGTCGCGTTCCTATTTTGAATATCTGCCATCTTAAGGGTTGTAGTCTGTTTGTTATTGTAGCACTTAAGTATTGCTGCTCATAACAGCTAGTTTCGATTTGGGCCATTGTCGGGATATTTGCTTTCGCTGTGCTAATTGCAAGGGCTGGTAAAGCAGATATAAATTAGAAGTAAATTCAGGTGAAAACCAGGACAAGCAGTCACTCGGCGAGAACGTCAAGAGCGCGTAAGTTGTTTTTTCTTAATATCCAGTTCTCCTGTTGCTCTGTTTACCATTTGTCAAGTAAGTAGGGCTATTTTCGATTCTTTGTAATTTTTATCTTCACTAAATAGCTTTATTTTAATTAGTCGCGTTCCTATTTTGAATATCTGCCGTCTTAAGGGTTGTAGTCTGTTTGTTATTGTAGCACTTAAGTATTGCTGCTCATAACAGCTAGTTTCGATTTGGGCCATTGTCGGGATATTTGCTTTCGCTGTGCTAATTGCAAGGGCTGGTAAAGCAGATATAAATTAGAAGTAAATTCAGGTGAAAACCAGGACAAGCAGTCACTCGGCGAGAACGTCAAGAGCGCGTAAGTTGTTTTTTCTTAATATCCAGTTCTCCTGTTGCTCTGTTTACCATTTGTCAAGTAAGTAGGGCTATTTTCGATTCTTTGCTTCTTTGTAATTTTTATCTTCACTAAATATCTTTATTTTAATTAGTCGCGTTCCTATTTTGAATATCTGCCGTCTTAAGGGTTGTAGTCTGTTTGTTATTGTGGCACTTAAGTATTGCTGCTCATAACAGCTAGTTTCGATTTGGGCCATTGTCGGGATATTTGCTTTCGCTGTGCTAATTGCAAGGACTACCACAGCTGTCCTCACTCAGCTATTGATAGCATTATTTCTATGTAGTGTGCGTGCTGTCGCGGAAGCGTCAGCGGAAGCATTCAGCTCTCGTGTTCAGCCTCCTCGTGTTAAGACCGACTCGGGTAAAGACCTGCGACTCTACCTGCGCGACTCCACCGAGCAAGGACACCTGCAAGGCACTTAAAGTATCTTCTTCACCCTCTCCTTTCCTACCTTTATCTTATTTCCCTTTATCATTATGTGCTTTCAACATATTCCTGTTGTCTCTCGACAACGCTCTCTCACCACGCACAGAAGGCAGCGCAATACTGCTTATCTGCGCCCGTTTCTCTCATCCTCACACTCACCTCTCACTCTTTCTATGGGTCTATGGAATTGTCAATCAGCAGTCAATAAAGCTGACTTCATTCCAGCCTTTGCATCTCATTCTACTCTTAATATCTTGGGCTTGACTGAGACCTGGATCCGTCCAGAAGACTCAGCAACCCCTGCTGCTCTCTCTAACAACTTCTCTTTCTCTCACACCCCTCGCCAGTCTGGGAGGGGTGGGGGCACTGGTCTTCTCATTTCTAACAATTGGAAATATTCACCTCTCTCTTCTCTATGCAATAACAACTCATTTGAATATCATGCTATTACACTTACAACTCCCATGAAGATCCATATTGTAGTTATTTATCGCCCCCCAGGTCAACTGGGAAGCTTTGTAGAAGAGCTGGATGTGTTGCTGTCCTCTTTCCCTCAGGATGGCATCCCACTTGTAGTCTTTGGCGATTTCAACATTCACCTAGCGAAGCCGTATGCAACAGACTTCATCTCTCTCCTAGCCTCTTTCGATCTCAAACGGCTCATCACCACCGGTACTCACAAATCAGGCAACCAACTGGACCTAGTTTACACACGCAACTGTATCACAGACAACATTTTGGTGAAACCTCTCCAAGTTTCTGATCATTTCCTCATTACTTTCAATCTACAACTCACTACCCATGCTCCACCAACCTCCCCACCATTTACTTTCAGACGAAACCTGCGCTCACTTTCTCCATCCCATCTTTCCTCTGCTGTGTCATCTTCTCTTCCCTCACCCTCACATTTCTCATCTCTGGATGTGAATACTGCAACGGATACTTTATGCTCCATCCTAACCTCTTCTTTAGACAATATCTGCCCTCTCTCCTCTAGGCCAGCACGCACCACTCCCTCTAACCCCTGGTTATCTGAGGTTCTTCGTGAACACCGGACCAAGCTCAGGGCAGCGGAGAGGAAATGGCGCAAATCAAAAGACACATCTGACCTCAGTAGGTATCAATCTCTGCTCTCTGCCTTCTCTGTTGATGTTCACGCCGCAAAATCTTCATATTTCCACAACAAGATCAACAGCGCCTCTAACACACGTTCACTGTTCAAGACATTCAATTCTCTCCTCTGTCCACCTCCACCACCACCCACCTCCTCTTTAACTGCTGATGATTTTGCTAACTTCTTCACTAACAAAACTACCACTATCAGCAGTCAGTTCTCAGCACAGGAACCCAGACTAACCTCTCCCACAGCCAATAACCTTCTCTCCTCCTTCACTCCACTAACCGAGGAAGAAGTATCTAAACTTCTCCTCTCCAGTCATCCTACCACCTGCCCTCTAGACCCCATCCCCTCACACCTTCTACAAGCCATCTCTCCCACACTTCTACCAGCTCTCACACACATTATCAACTCATCCCTCCACACTGGCATTTTCCCTACAGCATTTAAGCAGGCTCGGGTAACTCCTCTGCTTAAAAAATCATCATTAAACACATCACTTCTAGAGAACTACAGACCTGTCTCTCTCCTACCATTCATTACGAAAACACTTGAACGAGTTGCTTTTAACCAAGTATCATCCTTCCTGTCTCTGAACAACCAGCTGGATGTCAACCAATCTGGCTTCAAGAAAGGACATTCAACTGAGACTGCATTGCTGTCAGTCACGGAAGCCCTGCGGATCGCAAAAGCTGCTTCCAAATCATCAGTTCTCATCCTCCTGGACCTGTCTGCTGCCTTCGACACTGTGAATCATCAGATCCTCTTGTCCGCCCTCTCATCACTGGGCATCACTGGAACCTCCCTCAACTGGTTTGAGTCCTATCTCACAGGTAGGTCCTTCAAGGTCACATGGAGAGGTGAGGTATCCAAAGCACATCAACTGACCACAGGCGTTCCTCAGGGTTCAGTTCTCGGACCGCTCCTCTTCTCCATTTACACCACATCACTGGGACCTATCATACAGGCACATGGTTTCTCTTACCATTGCTATGCTGATGACACCCAGCTCTACCTCTCATTTCAACCAGATGATCCCACAGTAGCTGTACGGATCTCAAGCTGTCTGGCGGACATCTCGGCATGGATGAAGGAACATCACCTGCAGCTCAACCTGGCAAAGACTGAGCTTCTCGTCCTCCCTGCCAATCCGTCTCTACAGCACGACCTCACTATCCAGCTAGATTCATCCTCAATCACCCCATCAAGGTCGGTCAGAAATCTTGGAGTAATCTTTGATGATCAGCTGACCTTCACAGACTACATTACAAAGACAGCTCGATCATGCAGGTTTGCTATGCACAACATCAGGAAGATCAGGCCTTTCCTAACTGAGCATGCAACACAACTTCTCGTCCAGGCCCTGGTCATTTCTAGGCTTGATTACTGCAATGCTCTTCTGGCTGGACTTCCATCATGTGCAACTAAACCTCTACAAATGATCCAGAATGCTGCAGCTCGTCTGGTCTTCAACGAGCCCAAAAGGGCCCACGTCACTCCTCTGTTCATCTCTCTGCACTGGCTACCACTCGCTGCTCGCATCAAGTTCAAGGCTTTGACGCTTGCTTACAGATTGACCACAGGTTCAGCTCCCTCCTACTTCCACTCACTACTACAAGTCTACATCCCTACCAGAAGCCTACGATCGGTCAATGAGCGACGGCTCGTGGTACCATCACAGCGGGGCACAAAATCACTCTCCAGAACATTCTCATTCACGGTTCCATGCTGGTGGAATGATCTCCCCACCCTCATCCGGAATGCAGAATCCCTGACAACATTCAAAAGACAACTGAAAACTCATCTCTTCCGGGAGCACTTAACATAAAAAAAAAAAAAAAAAAAAAAAAAAAAAAAAAAAAAAAAAAAAAAAAAAAAAAAAAAAAAAAAAATCCTTTCCTCTAAATCCTCGCTTGCCTGGCTTATGCTACTCCGAGCTATGTCTGAACTTTGTATTTTGAGCACTTCTTGCGTTGCTTTTGCCTCTTCACGATGACTCGCTTGGTTTAGTCCTCAGTTGTAAGTCGCTTTGGATAAAAGCGTCTGCTAAATGACTAAATGTAAATGTAAATGTAAATGCCTAATGCCAGCGCTTGTTTCTTGTGACAAACATGCCGAGAAGCAAGAACAAGATCTGCTGTCTGTCATCCATTGTTGTTTACTATGTCGCTTTCTTCGCGCGAAAATGACGTCGATCGCTTCTTTCTGGCAAACACCACGCCTATCAAGTAAGGGTACTGTTGGCGGTGGAAACGCAAGCCGGATCATGCTGTACCGACCCGACCCGTACTGTACTGTACCGTACCGTACGGTACGCCTCAGTGGAAACGAGCCATTAAAGATTAACTTGACCAAGATGATGGTCTAAAAGTAATAATAGACAAATAAATGACAATAATCAATTAAATCCTATTAAAAAAAAATCTAATACTAAATCTTACAAAAATAGAATATGTGCATCCTTTTTTATCTTCAAGCCGCTTCAAAAGGAAATTCAGTCATGTACTTCTAATGTTGTTCCAAACCCATACACTTATTTTTTTTCTATGGAAACAGGGAAAAATCTTCTGAATCCTTAAGTTATCTTTCACTATCAAATCAAATGTTTAAACTTCATGATATTAAACTTACGCCATAGGTGCGATATTTGATTTGAGAGCTGTATAATTCAAAATTGAAAGGATTTCAAGATTCAAAACTTATTTTTTGCCTTCCACAGAAAACATAACAGCACGCACACATTTTTCATTTTTGGATGAACGATCCCTTTAACCCCCAGACCTTCACTCGTTTGAATAACTGTGAATTGTTAGGAGACTGACCATGGTCATTTTCCTCTGTTCAGAGAGCTTTTGGAGCTGGTAGGATGTCTCTCCCACTTTGATAAATCCCTTTTTCACATCATCCAGAGCCTGAGAGAGAGGAAACAAGTAAACAGTAAACACCAGTACAGACTGAAAACGCTTAGACACAAAAACACATTTTCTTGAAAAAACACACATTTTCTTGAAAAAGCGCACACACACACCTGATGGAAGCAATAGTTGATAGCCAGCTCGTTGTCATTGAGAAGAATCTCTTCCTCTGTGGTGAAGAGCCACTTGCGGAGTGTGAGGCAGGTGCCTGGGATGGCAGATGTGTAGTTCTGCACATACAGCTTGTGTGGAAACTCATTAGGGGCCAGCTTGCGTGCTGAGAGATTGAGAGACAGAAATATAGAGGTAGATAAGCAGTAAGAAACCGGGACAGAGAGAAAGTGTGAAAAATGATGAGTCCGAGTACAAAATCATAGAAGGACTTTATTATGTACTTCATTTATCATTATATATTACTTTATATCATTAAAATTATATATTGAGGTATGAAAGTTATATAAAACTAATCAATAAACATTGAGCTTGATTTGACCACAAGACCCTGCTACTTAAACACATGAGTTGAGACATGCTGGCCAAACATGTTCATTACAAGTACAGCAATTTTGTGACACATCAAATCATAAAATGTGGATGGGGTTTTGAAGATATTTTAGCATGAATCACACACTGGAAAACCTGAGCAAACAAACCCCATACATACAGATACATATGTGTATGTGTGTGTGTGATGTTGACAAGTGTATTTGATAAAAAAAAAAAAAAAAGGTCATTTGGTCTGTTTCTGCTTCAGACTAAAAAGGTAATTAATAAGGTTTAAAGTACATTTACATTCTGCAAAATAGGTCACAATTGTGAGATACAAAGTTAAACTTTTGTACTAAATTATTTCTTAATCTGTGAAATTGGTTTCCATTAAATTCCTAGTTATATGAAAATGATATGAAAAATATACAAACATGAACAAGAGACTTCAAGTAATGACAGAAACAGTTTGATGCATGTTTGCACTGCATTTCATCTCATATCTTAGGACGCATCTAAAAATATGAATATTAAATTGAATTGCGAAGCGTCCATTTTCAAGAGCAATTATTGTAATTCTGCATCAGTGAATTGCTGTACATTCACAGAGAAGAAAAAGAAACAACAACTCTGTGTAACAATGAACTATTCTGCTTTATGCCAGTGTGCTCTGCTTAATCACTCAACCCCAAGCGAATGTGATCCGCTCACCGGTTAAGCGAAGTTCTCTCAAATCCCGCTCTGACATTAAATTTGTTGTTTGTAATGAATTTCTTGAATAAATGTCTCAATACAGTAGGCCTATAGATAACAGTTATGATATTTGTGGCTTTAAAGCAATATTTTTTAAAGTAGCAGGCTATAAATAAATGTGATGTGCAAACATCCACGCAACACGCAGCACGCATCCAGATGATTTCCAAACTGCCGTTTTCTCATCTATTTTTGTTGTATGTTTATTTTGTTATTGAAAGAAAAGCATGTAGCAAATATTTACATATTCGTCTAAACGGCGCTCCATCAGCGTGGACGTCGGGATGTTCGATAAGCAAACAAATGCTTATTTTGATTCACAAATGCCTAATTTTTTGTGATTTGATTTGTTTTACTTAAATATTACCTTTTATGCAGGGTGTAATATAGCTGTTTGTGAATGTAAAAGGTCTGGAAAGTTTTAAAGATCTAAGTGCATGACAAATAAAGTTATTGTCTCCTAAAAGAAATAGTCGATCCGGAACTGCCGAAACGAGTCAGTAATTCCAGTCTCACTTCCTGTTACACACCTATGTCACAATGAAACAAATTTGCATAATACCAGCCTATGATCTTCATGGGCTGTCTGCGAACAACGTCTACTTTGACCCGCCCTCAAACACTGTAGTTGTAGCTGAGGCCTGGAAGAGTTTGGTTAGTGTTGTTCATGTCAAGAAGTAACTGTTTTCAGGGATGAAAATGCAGACTGAGGATTTGTCTAATACTCGCTAGAATTGGTACAGAAAAACCCGACGCCTTTGTTACTGTTCGTATCCTTGTGTATCAAGTGCTGAGGAAGCCTCTGGAGCTGAAATTCAGATATGGTAATAGGCGTTCCCACCCACCCCTGTAAAACGATTTAAACTGGAACACAATCTAAACCGAACGCGATTTCACAAAATTTAAAAAATCTGAACGATTGCACCCTTAGTTACTAGTAATACTTAACACATATAACAGGTATATAACATTGTCATACAGGAAAAATGATGAAGAGCTCTCACCAAAGGAGTGGTTAATGACTTCAAACAGAGCAAAATAACTTGCAGTAATGGTGTCCATCCCAATCTTCGTTACTATAGCCTGGGGGAAAAAGAGACAGTGAGAATTAATGAAATGTGTGTGGATTTAGAAAATGATTTAGATAACTCAAATGAGTTAAATACATTACCTGGTAGACCTGGTCTGTTGTGCAATTCTTTCTCACCCGGACCGTAACTGTAGTTTTGTCTGGCATTGCTATCCTTAGCTCCACATCAGAAACACCATTATAGTTCTAGGAGAAATGAGAGAGGGACCTAAAAATACAGTCCAAACAGATAGAGCAGCGCTACAGGCTGCTTGTCCATCGTGTGCCTGAGAAACACGCAACATGCAAATGAGTACACAAACAACGACATGACTGCCACATTTTCAAATTAAGGAAATTCAAAATTCCTCAACAAATTAAACCGATATAAGACAAGATCCATCTGTTTTGAAAAGACATACAGGCCATTTTAAGCCCTGAGTGGACTGTTCAGAATGTCTTTTCTCTTTTTCTCTCTCTCTCTCTCTCTCTCTCTCTCTCTCTCTCTCTCTCTCTCTCTCTCTCTCTCTCTCTCTCTCTCTCTCTCTCTCTCTCTCTCTCTCTCTCTCTCTCTCTCTCTCTCTCTCTCTCTCTCTCTCTATTTTAAACAATGTTCTATTATTGCCTGTAGATGACTGTAGCTAATGTTTTGGTATTATAAATGTAGAGTTGCTGTCATGTCAATTATGCCACTCATATGAAAGACAGGGCGCGAGAAAACTGACTCTCTGACAGGATAGCTGCATGCATGGATGGATGGACTGACAGGCTTGTAGTTTTGGGGCCATTAAGGGGAGAAGGATCAATTTAAGGCAGTGGTTCTTAACATTTATGACTGCAAGGCCCCCCACTGTCAAAACCAATATTTGAAGGCCCCTCAAGATATTCTTATACTTCTGTTAAAATGGCAAAGCTATTAATTTTTTTATTTACAGAAAGTAAAAGTGCTCTTTATGCTTTACACTTTTTATTACAAATGAATTTACATTACTTATTACTTTTCTTGTTTTTAACCAGCCCCAGGTTTTTGCGATTCCGTGATCGCAGAATACAACGCAAAATCAACTGTCGCATTTTTTTTGCGAGCTTGCATAATTCGCCATTTCACCAGAAAATAAATCGCAAAAATGAAAAGGTCTCACAAACAATAAATTATAATTATCTTATTGAATTATACCTAATTTAATAAAAGTTGTAATGCATTATTTTGAGGAGGATACAGATGTGTACGTTATGTCAGTAAGTGGTCTGTGTGAAACAAAGAAAGCGAACCTTTCCATGCAAATACTGAATTGTGATCTCTTTCTAGACTCTTTGTGCTTGAATGGTCAAATACACTCATAATTATGTCAGTAGTAAGTGAACAAACAGTCGATCGGGGTGGGGGGGGAAGGTTGTTTGGTCATTATTGCATCTGCACATTGTAGGTCTTAAAGTGACAGAAACCTAATATACCCTCTGCTTTCTGTGTTGTTAATGTTAAACAAAAATAACAGGGAAAAAACAGCACCATCTGTATCCGTTTCTTTATTTTGTATTTATTTGTCCTATTGTTCTTATTTTATTACTGACTGTTTACTTGATTATTTGAGAACTTTTTACTTACATTAGGCAAGTATTTGTTTCGCTGTGGATTGCTAATAAGATTTGGGTAATAATCCCACTCTAATGGATTATATTACTAAAGATAGATAGTAGGCCTACACCACTAGACTAGCCTAGCTAGCTATATGATTGCCAAACAATTTTGAAAAAAACATTATTTGTTCATATTTGTGGCCATCTTTGCAGTCCCTTTAGAAGTGTGCTGAGGCCCCCGGTTAAAAACCACTGCTTTAAAGGTGCAATGTGTAACATTTGAGTATCTATTAACAGAAATGCAATATGACATCCATAACTATGTGTTCAGTGGTGTATAAAGAACTTACTTAATAAACCGTAATGTTTTTATTACCCTAGAATGAGGCATTTATATCTACATAGGCGCGGGAATCCTCTTCTATGAAGGTCGCCATATTGTGACGTCATGTTTCTACCGTAGCCGACAGCGAACAAACAGCGTTACAGAGCGCGTTTCGTCACAACCTTGAAAGAGAAGCCGCAGGAAGCTAGAAGAAGCTAGTCATAAACACCGTGAGTAGTGACTTTTCCCTTGTCAGTGGTGTAAATATGTAGATGGATTGTTTCATGTAACTTAATTCTTCTCCCTCGCTGTGTTATGGCTTTGCTATGTGGGGATAAATGTGCTGGTTAAGTTCGTGAGACAGCTGATTAGTAGGCTACTCTTGTCATTGACCGTAAAACAGTTACAGGAATCACCAACCCGTCGATCTTGGAAGCATTTTAAGTCGATCGAGTTTCCAAAATCAGAGAAAAAAAGCCTATTGTGTGTAGTAAGTGGTGTCTAGGGGATGCGGAGGCGCGCGCGCTGTTACAATCACGTCATTTTTGCCGCACGCACCTTTGGGCTCATGCGGACGCGTCGAGTTTAAACAAGGCTTAACGCTTTAACCAGCTCAGCCACAGTAACAGCTCATATTAGCCAGCTAAACTTTTACTACCCTGTTAGAAAAAATATATAGTTGCATAGTTTCATGTGGTTCTTCTCCCTCGCTGTATTATGGGTTTGCTATGTGGGGAGAATGTGCTGGTTACGTTCGTGAGACAATCAGCTGATTACTATTATTATATTATGTATTAAGACCCTTGATCCTCACCTGAAACTTTATCCATGATGTGGTTTATAATGGACTGTGGTACAGAAACTTGGTTTACGCTGGCTATTCTCTGCTGTCTCAGACGACGATGTTTGTCCCGTTTTAGCCACCGTAGCTTCTGCGAAAGGGAGGGGTGAGCGGTGGGCTGAGCCCTTAGTGTAAACTCGCAACCGAACCGCTAGATGTCGCTAAAAGTCACACACTGCACCTTTAAGGAACACTTTATAATCGACTGATAAAGTACTGTAATTCGATAAACACACTGCATTCAATACAAAAACAGCATATACAGCAACAGAAAAATGAATTGAGTTGAATAGTCTGTAGTTGAATACATAGTGATGTACGAGATCCTCTCTATCAGTTTGTCCTTTTTGAGAGTCAGGACATGTGTTAACAAAGGCTTGTTTTCCTTGCTAACTTATCTATCACACTTTGTCTTTGAAGAGTCTTTGTGACTCAGTCACATTCTTTGATCGGTGGCCATCGTCCATGATTCAATTTTTGAGTCAAGTGAGATTGCAATGCTTTAAGTATGCTCCTTATGTTTATATGCAGTTATAATCAAGATGAAGAAGGTTTTTGCAGGACTACAGTCTTCTCTTTGTCCAAGTACATTTACATTTACTCATTTAGCTGTCTGTGCACAACGCAGAGGCCAGCTGTCGTCTGATTAACTGTATACATGAGGTGAAGTCCAATACAGTGCTGCAAGGATGATGTATTTTTGTAGGCCAAAACACAGAAACCAGTCAGCATTTTAGCACTTCCATCGTCCTAAATTCAATGTGTTTTTTTAAATGCCTGAAATAACGTCTGGGGTTAACGCAAGCTCAAGATACTTTCACGTTTTATTCTACAACCCCATTTCCAGTTTTGTAAAATGCAATAAAATTCACAATCTGTGATTTGTTAATTCTCATGAACCTTTTTTTTTAACTGACAAAAAGTACAAAGAAAAGTTCACTGAACAACATAATTGTATTTTGTAAATATAAACAAATTTTGATATTGATGGCTGCAACACACTCCAAAAAAGTTGGGACAGAGGCAAAATAAAAGTGAAAAGATTATCCAAGTTAGATTATCCAACTCTTTTGAAACAGTCCACCATGAGTAGGTGAATTGGTAATAGGTGTGAGGGTATCATGTTTGGGTAAAAAAGGGAGCTTCTCAGTCTTTGCAAGCAAAGATGGGTCCTGGCTCATCCCTTTGTGCCAAATATCATGAGAGAATTGTTTGACAATTCAAAAATCCCATTTCTTAATGCAAGATTGCAAATAATTTGTCTTTCACCATCTTCCATATAATATTGTGAAAAGATTCAGAGAATCCAAAGACATCTTAAGCCATGTTTCCATCCACTTGTCAATCGAATTATCTGAAGTTCGGTAAAAAACCTCATGCGAATAAAGCTGGTGAAAGTGTGTTTCTATCAAACGGCTTTAAAGCGGATAAAAACCTGTGCGTAATGACGTCACATGCTGTTTTGCGATCAAATTGGTATATCGAATTGATTTGAGACATGTTAAGGTGTTTCCATTCATTTTCTCACCGAATTGCACAACATTCAAGCCAACATTTGCGAACAAAGTTTTACTAGGCAAAATGGATCGCACCATAATAACGTTTCCATCCGCGTTTATCGCATAAGCCGTATATCGATCAAGATAAAATCCGATGAGACCGATCGTATTTCATTTGAGTCGATATTCATGAAATTCAATCGAATTTTACTGTTTCCATAAGGCATTTTTCATTCGATATCACTTAATGCGGATAAAAACGTGTGGATGGAAACATAGCTTTAGTCTGTATAGGGCAAGGCAGGAGACCTCTGTTGAATGTGCGGGACCTTTGAGCCCTCAGATGGCATTGCATGAGAAACCATCATGCTACTGTGTTAAATACAGCCACATGTGCTCGGGAGTATTTTGCAAAACCGTTTTCACTGAACACAGTCTGACGCTGCATCAATTAATGGCACTTGAATCTCTGTTACGCAAGGAGAAAGCTTTACATCAGTTCTATGTGGAGATGTCGGCGAGTTCTCTGTGCCCGAGCTCATCTCAGATGGCCTAGACTCTAGAGGACAGTGGAAATGTCTGCTGTGGTCAGATGAGTCCATGTTTCAGCTCGTTTTGGAAAAAAAATTATCAGTCGAAGTCGAAAGGGACCAACCAGACTTTCATCAGTGACAGGTGCAAAAGCAAACATCTGTCCTGGTATTGGGGTGCATCAGTGCAAATGGTATGGGTAACTAGCATTTGTGTGAAGGTACCACTGACATGGCATATATTTGCATTGTACAGAGACATAAATTGCCATCAAGATGACATCTTTCCTGGGAAGCAAGACAATGCCAGGCCTCATTCTGCACATGCTAAAACTGAGTGGTTTCAGACACTCTGCACCACAGAATGGATGTGCCTGAAGTCCAGATCTGTCTCTTATTGAAAATGTATGACCCATCATGAAAAGAAGAATCAGACAACGATGAATACAGACTGTTGAGCAGCTGTCTTATCAGACGAGTTTGGGCAAATATTCCACTTGCAAAACTGCAACAATTAGTATCCTCAATTCCCAAACATTTAAAAAGTGTAATTAAAAGGAAAGGTGATGTGACAGTGGTAAACATGCCTCTGTCCCAACTTTTTGTAGTGTTGCAGACATCAAATTCAAAACTTCTTTATATTTAGAAAATAAAATTAAGTTGTTCAGTGAAAACATAGGAAATATTTTCTTTGTACATTTGTCAGTTAAATAAAGGTTCAAGAGAATTAACAAATCACAGATTCTTGATTTTATTGCATTTTACAAAATGTCCCAACTATTCTGGAAATGGGGTTGTACAACATAAAATCGATCAGTAATACCCCCTTGTGATTTTAAAAAAAAGCTTTTACTTGTCTTGAAAAAGGCGGGTACTAACAAGTGGCTAAATGGGACTACAGAGGTTGTCAGGGACATAAAAAAAAAAAAAACCATTTCAGCACAAACTCTGCCCCACAGCTGATTCTAAAGATTTCATTGGTCATGTCAATCACAGTCCTGATGCCTACACAATGCTACAACAAATACTAAACCCTAACCCTACCCAATGAAATTGGCTGCAGGGCGGGATTTGCGCTGAACTAGTTTGGGGGGGAAAACATGCCTTGCAAAATATTCTTACTCAAACTTTGAGTTCATTTGTGAAGATTATCATGATAAACAAATTGTGTAAGAACCATAAATGTGTTGTTTTTGATGGATCACAATAATCCAAAGGCCAATGAAAAAATCCTACTGGATTTTTTGTCGAGGGAACCAGGGTGATGAACTTCTGGGTTGACCTACAAAAATACATCACTAGAGTCTGTTGGGCGTGAAATGGCACAAATCGGGAATAAATGGAAAAGAATAAAGCAGGGCAAGAAACATTTTTATAATCATAAGATGCTTAAAACTAGGCCTGGCCTCCCTGCCCCAGAAGACAAACCGTGCATGTCCAGACAGAATACTCATGTGATTAGGATGAATGGCACCAGACATTCCCCATGGTACACAGATAGGGATGGGTATCGAGTTCGATACCTTTTAGGCACCGGCCGAATTGCCTCGATACCATAGAGTATAAAAAAATTACTTGTTGTTCGGTACCAAATTTCGATACCTGAGGAGTTAATCTTGTCAACGTCAGTGAAACAATAAGCATGCAGCATGTATGATGTGCCCAAATCAAGTGCTGGTGATTGGCTGTGGCAAGGGATAAAGGAAAAACACTAGTTTACAACGGTTTGATGGTAACAGCACACGATGCAACGAATGGCGCAGACGAGCACCGTGTGCGTTGTGCGTGCTGTGTAGTAAACGGAACCGCACATCTGCGCCATTCATTGACACAGACACGCAGAATTCATATTTAAATAGTCCTTTTGCAGTATAATATTCTCACTTTGACAACATTTCATTTGAGAGAAACGATCATCACATCACAGAAGAAGGTCTACATGGCAAAATAAAAGTTTGGTTTAACAAAGAAACTGCGATAGAAATATATTACTCTTGTACAGTATAATGTACGTCTTAATGTAAAACTACTACTACTACTACTAATAATTATTATTAAAACAAATTTTCTTCCATGTAATAATTTTAACAGTTAACAATAACAGTTAACCTCTGTGCAGCACTTGTTTGTAAAAAACTTGAAGGGTTTGTTTAATTTGCATTTGATTAAAAGATAAATTAATGTTTTATGCCTTCATTTGATTACCAGATAAATTAAAATACACAACACAGAATTTCTATATAAACAAACATTTCATAGGGCCCTATTATTGTTTACAAATTAATAAATTAAGTTGTTTTTATGAATTCAATTAATTAGATATGTTTTTGATTAAACCATTTGAATGGAATATAGACAAAATAAAATGGAAAGCACTGAACTGGTTAAAAATAGGTTTAATGATTTCAATTAATTATTTGATTAGTAAAATCTAATTTAACCATCCTGAAAAAAAAAAAAAAAACATTAAACTAGGTATCTTGTAAAGTGTGCTTATCCTTAAGGTTGGCTGTATCAACAGTTCAGCTTTCTTGTTTCTTCACATTAATGTTACAGCCTCTGCTATAACATGTTCTGTTTATAAAATTGGTATCGAAAAAGGTATTGTTCAGGAACTGGTAGCGAAGTCATGGTATCGGTATAGAAAATTTTTGAATGATACCCAGCCCTATACACAGATACTTCCCTTTTCTGTTTGCCCAATGACCGTAATCACACGAATCCGCCTCTAACCTATCCTTCCTCCTACTTTTCTTAAGATCAAATGACCCTAAGGGCAAACTTTGGGTAGACTTTGGATAAATTATATCAGAAGGAAAGGCACTGCTTGCCTTTTATACATGAGATACACCCCAGTCTGCAGAAAGTGCCAATCAACAGCAAGTTGTTTTTGTATGCTTTTATACAGTTAAAGTTACAAACTCTATTGCAGTAATTTCATTACTGTGATCTGGTACCGTGCCAGCCCTAATATAGACAATGCCTTACCTCATCAGACTCTGACAAAAACTCCTGCATGACGTCGCTCTCCCCGATTACCCGAACCGAACATACTGGTGAGATGAAGAGGGAACGGCAGAGAAACACAGAGAAAGAATGTTGGAAACATCTGTAAACAGTTATTTTCTAGATTTTCATCTCAAGTCTCCTTCCTGTATCGTTCCCTATTACCTTTCTCCAAGTATTCCTCCAGCCCTCGTCTGCGAGCATCTAGCTGCTGCTCAGACAGGGAGAAAGGCCATTTCCCTGGCAGCTTGGGAAATGCAAAGTTAGCAAATTCCCTCTTCAGATTCTGATGCAAGATGGCAAACTCTCGATAGCGCTTTGAGCACAACTGCCTGCCTGCCATGTACACGTTGTAGACCTGACACACACACAATCACAATCCTTTTAAAAATAATACTGAAATCATCAGGGAAAAAAATACCAGACATGCATAAGCAGGGACAGAGGATAAAACACTCACAACAAACTTCTCCCCGTTCTGCTCCACATGTTTGTAGGTGGGCACTGAGATGGGCACGGCCTGCTTGTCACTGTAGTCATAGCAGGACTGTGAAGAGCCATCGTCCCCGGGATCAAGACTGTCCGTCTCTGGCTGAGGAACCGACAGAATGGCCAAGACCAACTCTTTCTCTCCTGCTCGGATGAGATCTACCACTTGCTTATGAGTGGCCCCTTCCACATTCACCCCATTTCTGCAGATCGAAAAAGAAGAGAGAAGGATCTGGTTACAGAATTAAGCTGGTACTCTCAGCCAATACCTTATAGCAATGTGACGTTAAATGGTTAATGCTTTAAATCTTGCCTTACCAGGACCTTTTAGAAGGTTAAGGTCAGATCAGATATCTCTTAATCCTGAATTACTACTTAGGTGGTGTTCCTGGAGCTCCTATTTTATGGTCTAATCTTTACAGGACTCAACAATAAGGGTGTGAGTTTCGGTTTAGTTGACGGAACTGTTACTTGCCCTTTCAAGCCAGTGCTGTGATACCACTGAAAGTTAGTTTATGCCTGTATAATATCCAATATCCAGCTTGTTACAAATTTTATTTATGTAAAAATGTATTACTGTTCAAAAGTTTGGGGTCAGTAGGATTAATTAATACTTTTATTAAGCAAGGATGCATTTAATTGATCGAAAGTGACAGTAAATACATTTATGGCTCGTTTACACCGAACACTACAGTACTGTTCGGGACGGTAAACCCTGATCCGGTGTTAGATCTTGAAGAAGATCTTGTTCTTGCTTCTCGGCAAAAATAAAATTGTGTTGCAACGGTATTATGTTTCAACTGTATATAAAAAAAGGCGCCTATTTTGTTGTCAATCCCCTTGTAGCATGCGTAAGTGACGATTCCCTATCAACCAATCATCGTTCTGCAGTGAGTCTAGCTCCACCCTTTAGGTACCGTACTACTGTGCTAGGTACCCCAACAGAAGGATCCCAATAAAGTGGTATGGTATTTTGGTACCAATCGAAACGGAAATAATTGCATACCGTACTGCACTGTACCGCTTGGTGGAAACGAGCCATTACTAACATTCTTGCAAAAAAAAAAAATAATAATAATTTTTTTATATATATATATATATATATATTTTTTTTTTAAGTAAATACTGTTATTTCTTTTTAAAGAATCCTGAAAAATATTTCCACAAAAATATTTAGCAGCACAACCATTTTCAACATGGATAATAAGAAATGTTTCCTAAGAACAAAATCAGCACATTAGTATGCTTTCTGAAGGATAATGTGAGGCTGAAGACTGGAGTAATGATGCTGAAAATTCAGCTTTGCCATCATATATTCAAATAGAATAGTTATTTTTACAATATTTTGAATAAAATAATATTCTGAGTTTTTTTTTTCAATAAAAACCTAATCCTTCCTTTGTGGTGGAGCCAGAAATAATGTTGGCAGGTCAAGTAGAAATTTGAACTATTGGTCCAACTAATTAGTAGCAAAAAAAAAACAACTTATATTTGAGCTCTGCTAAAAGTCAGGTTTTATCTAAAAACTGAGCAGGTCTTACTCAAAGTCTCATATCTTCTGCCCTGATAACCTGAGTTTGACCTCAAAATCTGTGCTGTATGTGGTTGATGCGTGCAAGATGTCATTCTGACTGTAATGCAGATTTCAGAGCAGAAATCATTCAGGACAGAAAACAAACCCTGATACCAAAGCGATCATGTGGTCCAAAGAGAACTGAAGAGTTTCAGCAAAAAACAAAACAAAAAAACCCCCAGTAAAACCACTGGAACAAAGTACTTAAGAGTTACTCAACAGCAATCAGCAGTGCATTGACATTCTCAGTCGTCTGTTTCTCATAGACACTCAAATACGCTCTCAGTCAGCCACTCAAAGAGCTTCACTGAACGCTCACTCTTCCTCCTTACTGTACATAAAAAAGCGGTAAATATCGTGTCGCCACTGAATCATAGTTTTGTATTGCCTACAGCATGGGTCACCAAACTAAGGCCCGCGGGCCGAATCAGGCCCGCCACCCCCCTTTGACTGGCCCCCCAACCCCTCTGCCCCCACTACTTGAACCGGCAATCCCCAAAAGTCGTCATGGCCTATTTTTTTTTTTAATTGCTTTTTGGAAAATAATAACATGTCTGCATCTGGTATTTTGTTGATTTTTTTTCAGTTAGAAATTTATATTTAGTTATAAAATGAACTATATTTGCCGAATTTTCGTCACCCGACATGCTCGAGATCACGCAGAGACAACAACGCACGCACAGAGTACTGTCAGTGTTCAGGACAGCGAAATGGCTAGTGTTAAACGAAAAGTTGATAGAGTGCAGAGTTTTCAAAGAACAGTGGACCAACGATTATTGTTTGTTCAGTGTAAAGAAGTGCAGTTTGTATTATATGTAAAGAAAGTGTGGCAGTTTTCAAAGAATATAATTTGCATCGTCACCACGAAACCCGGCACAAGGAGTATGCTAGCTTGCGAGGGCAAGCAAGACAAGACAGGATTCGGAGGATGAAAGTCGGACTGGCTGCACAACAGAATGTATTCCTTCGCCAAACTCAGGTCAACCAGGCTGCTTTTTTTCGAGCTAGCTATAAGCTCACCTACTAGCTACCCATGGAAAGACTCGATTACTACTTTTGCAAACAACTAGATAAACAAATATGACTGTGCCAGGCTAGTAATCTCTACTACACAATGAGGCCTGCTGGTGGTCAGTTTGGTCTGGGTTATACAATTCTATGTTATATAGCTGACCCGCCCCCCCATCACAGTCAGGAACCATAATGTGGCCCCCAGAGAAAAAAGTTTGGTGACCCCTGGCCTACAGTGTGTCATCACACCATCTCTCTCTTTATGAGGGTTCTCAACTCTGGCCCTCGAGGTCCACTTTCTAGCAGAGTTTAACTCCAGCTCAAATCATCAAACACACCTGAACAAGCTAATTAAGATCTTCAGGATTACTAAAAATCAACAGGCAGGTGAGTTTGATCAAGATGGAGCAAAACTAAGTGGACTTTGAGGGCCAGAATTGAGAACCCATGCTGTATCAAATACAAGAGAGTAGGTTAACCTGCTTCCAGACCGCCCAGTTCCAAATGGACTCCCACTTTCTGAAAACTGAGCCCTCCATTATATGTTTGACATGACATTCTTTTAGAGGTTCATAACATGGTAACTGCGGAGCACAGAAGATTGAGCAAATTGAAGGTCTGGGAATTAATACAGATTTAGAAACCATCCATACCAAGTTCTTGAATTGATTCTGATTCAATTGGGTATATTTGAGGGGTTTGTTCTCTCTCTCCGCTAAAGGTGCAGTCACATTGCGAGGCGAAATCCAGTTGTTTCAATAGGAGTCCATGGGATCTGGAATTTCGCGTGAGGACGGAAAAAAAAATCTCCACGAAATGTTCACAAGTTGGTAATGTAAATTCACCATGACGACCAACAGAAAGCTGCTTGGTTTGGTTTGACTTCTGTGTAAGCTGTTTCATTCACCACTATGCTATTGACAATGGACATATTTTGGCCAAAGTTTTAAAATTATCAAAACCGGCACCTGGTCTTTTTGAACTACCGTATTCATTAAAAGAACTGACTCATGAGAGTCATTCGTTCCAAGAATCAAGCCATATTTGTAATGTTAAACCTTTTTGGATACATCAAAAAGAACCGGCTCATAGAGTAATTTGTTTGTGTATCAGCAAACAAAATACGTAAATCATTTCTTGCCATTATTTCGAAGTACAGTCTTTTTTTTTTAAATAGAGAATGCAAACTCACATTCACAACTACATATATTACAAAACTAATAATAAAATAAGGCCCAAACTATGCAGTGAATTATTTCAGTGGAATGCAGGGTGAGCAGATTTGTACACGTTTTAATGCAGCCACTAAAAATAGGGTGTAAACATTTTCTATTTGAAGTTTACGAATAGATGTCATGATTATTCAAACGAAGAAAATGTATACCTGTACCCATTCCTATCAATTTGGGGTGCGTTTCTCTGAGGGTGCTTTGCAAAACTTTGCATTTTGTTTCAACTGCACGTAGAATGTTTTTAGGTGTAATATTTAAACATTCGCGAACAGTACATCCACAGTACAAAAGGAAGTGGAGTTTATAAGATGGATGAGAATTGTTTTGCCTCCATCTCTGTCTTAAGTTTACACTGGCTGATGCTGAGCTCTGTCACCTTCAACGCCACGGAAACCACTTGTCACCATGGCAACCTATGCCAGCATCAATGAGGTGCCCTGTGAATATTAACATGCAACCTGAACCGCTCCAGTGCAGATTAGAGACACAATACCATCAACAAATAATAAATCGCAACAAAAAACAACCCAGACATTCCTCCTAACATCCCCTAATGTAGTCCACAGACAACAAGTCTGCGGTTACATAATCATGCTGCAAATGTTTGAGATCACCACCACGGTTATAAAAAGGATGTGCCGATCACTGAGGAGTGTGCGAATAAAAGCTATTGTTTGCCCAATTGTCCACTGAGATTCATTTCGATTTTGACCCAGTATTGCTCAGAACAGTGCGCAGTCAAGATGAGAAGGAATGAGAGAGCTTGTCTGTTCACTGTGCTGTATGTGACCTGAATCTGCAATGAAGACAAACGCGTCCAAACACAAACATCCTTTATCTGGTGGAAATGAAGCAGCCATTCACGCAGAGACATACACCGATGCATATGACAGGCAGAGACACTGTGTGCAAAGACACGTTAAAGGGATGTTTCAGCCGGAAATGAAAAGCATGTCATCATTTACTCACCCTCATGATGTTCCAAACCTGTATTAATTACTTTATTCAGAGGAACGTTACGTTGAATACAGAACGTTACACAGAATTGGCTTTGTTCGGTTTTACAAATGCAGTCTCCCATTATTCATTATGTCATCATTCACTGCCCCTCAAGAGGTTAGCCTGAATGTGACAGCCTCCATCCACCTTTAATTAATATTTTTTTTCCATACAATAAATGAAAGTCAAACTGTAGTTCTGGTCTATAAAAAAAAGTCATACAGGTTTGGAAATACATGAGGGGCAGTGAATGATGACATAATGAATAATGGGAGACTGCATTTGTAAAACCGAACAAAGCCAATTCTGTGACTGTATGCAATTAGATGGCCTTGAAATCAGTTAATAAAGTCAGCTTAATAATAATATTAATGTTTGCTAAAAACTTAAACGACATGGGATGATTGGGAATGCTAGATGTTTGAATGACAAGCTCTGATGTATTTAGGATATGAAATCCTTCACATAACTGTAACCAATTCCATTTTGTATGCCATATAACGTTAAGTGTTATGCATTGTGAATATACTGTAGCCTATAATATGTCGAGACTTCACAGATGATATGTATAACTGCGGTGAAATGGCTGGCTAACTTTCAACTAACGTTACTCAATTCAATATAGCTAAATCAACAAACTTATTAGCCAGGTTAGCAGTTGTACTGGATTGCAGAGTGATTTATCTTATCGGAAACCTTTAAGTGTCTCAAAAACACTGCTGCCTTTCGCCGCTGGTATTTTTAAATCCGAATTAGGTCCCTTTCTGTCTAATAAGGGACGGCGGCGGTGGTGGTGGACAGCGCGGAAAGCGGCTGCTCGCGCTCCTCACGCGCGTCCACAGATTATTTACATATAAACTTACACTTCAAGAATACGGTCCCCTTTTGAGATTCCAGCTCGATCTGCTGCACCGCCCGGTAACACGGCGCTGACGTGCTGCAGCGGGGCGTAAAGTTCGCCGTTGATGCTTCTCAGCTGCCCTCCTTCGCTCACTTGACCGCGGACGTTAAAGCCGTAGCCCGAATCCGACTTGACGATGCGGACCAGCCGAGGCCCGGAGGTGACCGTGGTCGTGACGAGGCCACCGGCGCACGTCGCCGAGCTCATGCCGGAGCCGTTGCGAGCCGCCGAGTGAAGCGTGGAAGGGGCAGCGGAGCGAGTGCCGTCTCCTTCGACAACATCTGCCATCTTTATTTGAAGAAATCCTGCCTCCACAGCGGGTACGGGCGCCGAAGTGCTACATGAGCTTATTGGCTGGCGGAGTGCGTCAGACTCCAGACGGGAAAGACTGACGCCAAACCGCCCCCATCACGAGACACTGCTGCATTTGCGTGCCTTGAAAGTTACTTCTGTCACGTAACAACAAAGCAGTGCACCATGGGGTATGTAGTTTCATTTAACTGCATGTTTTGCATAGAATAGATTCCAGTTCTATTAATAATAGAAAATACATTTTATGTAAATGATATAAATATCATAATTTTATTAAATGAGTCAAATTTCCAACTAGTCAATAAAACCAAATTTCTTCAGTGCTTTTTTAATGAAATAATAAAAAGTATTGCACACTATGCCAACAGTTCCTATTTTCAAGAATTTCAGAGCTTTAATGCGATTTATTTTCTTTGTTTCAATGAATTGCACTTAAACGCATTATGACGTTTCCTGTCAGATGTCTAGTCTAGACGTTTAGAAAATGTCTTTAAGATGTTTATGACTTAGAAAATATGTAAAACTGACATCTTAAAGACGTCTATCAGATGTTAGTAAACTGCAGCTGTGTTTTAAATTTGTTTAAAATTTCCTGTGTGAATAGCCACCGTGAGGTCCGTGACACCCACAATTTTGTCAATGTCACCTCACAAATGAATACATTTATGTCACAATATAAATTTAGTCTCTTTCTATCACAAAACAGTGGCCAAAATTATTACATTGATTCATTTGTATATTCTTTTTCATCAAAGTTACTCGGGCAGCAAGGACGTGCCCTGCAGAAGACGTCATTTTTAGCACCATCTAGCGTCCAACTCTTTGCATCAATAGGCTTTATGCCCAGCTGCACTACTTCCTGAACTTCAGCCAGCTCCTTGTTTCCTGTCTGACATTATTGGACAAACTGATTAACCCAGGTGTGTCTGGTATTTGTTACTGGTCAGGCACACCTGGATTAATCAGTTTGTCCAATAATGTCAGACAGGAAACAAGGAGCTGGCTGAAGTTCAGGAAGTAGTGCAGCTGTGCATAAAGCCTATTTAATTACTAGAACGGAGCCTTTTGGCTGCCTCCTACGGCCGTTTCTCAATACCAAGTACGCAAACTTCGGACTTGCGTCCTTGGTAGTTCAGACTTACCAAGTTCGACTCAGGAGAACGAACTCCCGAGGACGAGAGGACGCGAGTCCAGTTATTCTGCAAATGGAACAGTGCGTTCTTGATCGCGTCACTCAGCACGCTCTGGCTACTCCGGTTATCTCTTTATGTATATTTTAGGCAACAATAAAACGAAATATGCTACAACTCTGCCTCTTTTCGTCAACAATAAAACAAAATATGCTATAAAACACCACTCTGCCTCTTTTCATTTAAAAATCTTAAACAGGCTACTAGCCTGTGGTTCAGGGCAGGCAATGCGTATTATCTTCACTGCATATGTTATGTGGCAGCAGATGAACCCAATAGCAGACAGCAGATAACTTAAACAAGAGGTTTATTAAAGACAAAACAGAAAACAAAACCCACGATGGGGCAAAACAAGACAGGATAGACTAAGACTCTGACAATAAACAAACAACTAAGACAGGAACAAACACTTCTCTTAACAAGACTTCCAACAAGTAACTCACGGTCTGAACACACAAAGTATGTCTCAACATCAAACAATGAACCGACACAGGACAGCATACACAAGGGGATTATAAAGGGAACACTAATGACAAGGACAGGTGAAACTGACTAGACAATAATGACGAGACTAGGATAACAAGGGGGGCGGGGTAACATAACGAGACAGCACAAGCACATGGTCCAAACAATTGGCCATGCGCTTGTACACAAAACATGATTCTGTCATGATCCTGCCTCACGACTAGGAAAATCAAGGATACTAAGGCAGAATCATGACAGAACCCCCACCTTAAGGAGCGGCTACCAGACGCTCCTCAAGGGGACATTAAACACGGGACATGACAGACTGTGACAAAGACACGAACCAACAAAACATGGAAAACCTTAATAATGGCAAACAAGAAAAAACAATAACAGGGCTGGGGTGAAACATCAAATACAACATACAAGGCAAAGGAGGTGGAGGAAACACAGAGTTCATGGGGGGAGGTCCAGGGTGGATGGGAGGACTGGGGGTCTTGGGTCCACGGGATGAGGGCTGAGGACGAGGACTCTGGGCAGGTTTAGACGGAGACACACGAGGAGAGGTCTAAAGCCTAGTTCACACTACAGGATTATAAGCCCGATTTAAGCCCGATTTGCAAATCGTTGAGCTCGCCGACAGGTCAGGGTGTTATTGCGTGCAAATCGCGGGGGAATAGCGGACGATGGACGCTCGCCAATCTGTTAGTATGAAAGAGCCAACAACGCATCAAAGACGCTCGCAGACGCCTCGCAGAGCCCAGAAAAATATCTAGCATGCTAGATATCCAGAGCTGTCGCCCGACTCAACCTCAGGTATGGGTCTTCGTCTTCTTTGCTGGGTATTAGCGCGCGTGATGTTTCGCGTAATTTCCGGTTTCTCTTTATCGCGTGATTTTTTGTGACAAAACGTGGTTTGTAGACAAGATTGAATCGTTGGGTGACAGAGTTGTTGTCAACTCGTGTAGTGCGTTACCTCCTGTTGCGGATCAATCACGTTGTGTCGTGTGGTGTGAACAGCTCAACAACTTGAACACTCCTGATTTCACAGAGAGCAAGTCATGTAGTGTGAACCGGACAGTTCAGCCCGACGTTTTAAAATCATGTAGTGTGAACTAGGGTTTAGGGGAAACAGTCTGGGGCTTAGTGGTGACAGGGACAAACGGGGAAACAGTCCGGGGACTAGTGGTAACTGGGACAAACGGGGAAACAGTCCGGGGGCTGGTGGAGACAGGGACGAACGGAGAAACAGTCCGGGAATTAGTGGAGACAGGGAGAACAGACTGGGATACTGCTTCAGTGGTAGCAGCAACAGATTCAGAGACAGAGGGTGAGGAAACGGGACTCCTGACGGGGGACATAGCAGGCGAAGGGGTAGGACTGGGTGCAGCGCTCACAGCGGCAGGCTCGGGTGCAGCGCTCACAGCGGCAGGCTCGGGGGCTGGGGACAAGACAGACAGGGACTTCGAGGATCTTAGCTAGACAAGACAAATAATCAGAGAGGGTCTTGGCAGCAAGGAAGATGGGCATCTCCTGACGAGCAGAAACCGATTTCAGAACCTCTTTTGCGGCTAGATCAGCCGCAAGTCTCTCAGTAGATTCTGGGACGGCGCTTGCTGGAGCGGGCTCATGGACGGCGCTTGCTGGAGCGGGCTCATGGACGGCGCTTGCTGGAGCGGGCTCATGGACGGCGCTTGCTGGAGCGGGCTCATCGACGGCGCTTGCTGGAGCGGGCTCATGGACGGCGCTTGCTGGAGCGGGCTCATGGACGGCGCTTGCTGGAGCGGGCTCATGGACGGCGCTTGCTGGAGCGGGCTCATGGACGGCGCTTGCTGGAGCGGGCTCATGGACGGCGCTTGAAGTAGCGGGCTCTGGGGCGGCGCTTGCTGAGGCGGGCTCTGGGACAGCGATCGCGGACTCAGGGGGAGACAGAGACGGAGGACAAGAGGCTCCCTTCCTCCTCTTCTTCCTTCTGGGTCGCGGAGCTGAGTCCGTAGCCAGGCTTGAGACCGGTAAGGGGGGCGAAGAGGGAGACGAAGCAGGTACTGGCAACTCCACCGCAGGCAAGGGGAATTCCGTGGAGGACGACTCAGACGCTGACTCCCACGACAAACGTCTTCCACGCTTTCCACGGGGGCTGACGGACACGGGTGGTGGATCGGGAGTCAGGGTGGAAGACGCTTGGTCCTCCTGTGTCACGACGGCTAACATGCGACCCTCAGGGATGACTGGAAGTGTGGCAGGAGGTGAAAAACCAGGGGGACCTGGCTGCTCCTTCCGAGACAAGTAGTCCACCATGTTGCGAAACGGACGGCGGACCAAACTCTCTCGTTCAGCAAGGGGAGGGAGGACTTTGAGACCCGCGACGAGGTAGCGGTTGGCCAGGGTCTCCGGCAGGAAGAACCTCCTCTCCTCAACGACCTGGGCGTACCTCTTCAGGGTCAACTCACCCTGGGGAGGGAAAGGAAGCTTGCCATTGGAACTGTCAGAGATAGCCGAGCGCCACCACAGTTCCGGGTCAGAAGGCTGAAGATCAGCGGAGAAGGACTGAACATCTGCTGAGTTCTTTTCTGGTCGGTTCATTCTGTTATGTGGCAGCAGATGAACCCAATAGCAGACAGCAAAACAACTTAGACAAGAGGTTTATTAAAGACAAAACAGAAAACAAAACCCACGATGGGGCAAAACAAGACAGGATAGACTAAGACTCTGACAATAAACAAACAACTAAGACAGGAACAAACACTTCTCTTAACAAGACTTCCAACAAGTAACTCACAGTCTGAACACACACAAAGTATGTCTCAACATCAAACAATGAACCGACACAGGACAGCATACACAAGGGGATTATAAAGGGAACACTAATGACAAGGACAGGTGAAACTGACTAGACAATAATGACGAGACTAGGATAACAAGGGGGCGGGGTAACATAACGAGACAACACAAGCACATGGTCCAAACAATTGGCCATGCGCTTGTACACAAAACATGATTCTGTCATGATCCTGCCTCACGACTAGGAAAATCAAGGATACTAAGGCAGAATCATGACAGCATATATTTATAACAACATGAACATGATCTTTTTGTTTTCATTTTAAAAATATGAAACATTATTGATTTGATGTTAAAATAAATATAAATATATATATATATATTTTAATGTAGGCTATATAAAATAAAATTACACAACCCTGTCTCTTTTTGTTAAATGTCAGTTTTAATGATCAATAATATCTACAATGATAAATAAGGCAAACAATTCAAACATAAGTAAGCTCTCTAATAGGCTACAAAGTTAAAGTTAAATAGCCTAAATATATAAAGTTATGAAACTTCACTTTGCCCTCAGCCAAAACGATTTTTTGCCATGGAACAAACAATAGTTTAATAAGACCAAAGATCGACTTATACACAAGACGAATTATACGTCAAGTGTATCCACTAGACTAG